CAATAAAGTGGATTTACTGTTTTATCTATGAGGTCATTTATGTAAATCAGGAAAAGAGTTGGCGAAAGGATTGCTCCCTGTGGCACACCAGCATTTATTTGGTAAGAGTTGGAGTTCTGGCCATCCAGTGCAACATAAATAGATCTGTCCTTTAGGTAACTTTCAAACCAAGTGCAAAGTTTCGGCGATAATCCCATTGCTTTGAGCTTGTTGAGCAGATTTTCATGCCAAACTTTGTCGAATGCTTTAGATATATCTAAGGCAATTGTTCTTGTTTCACCCCGCAACTCAATCGCTTTTTGCCATAAGTGAGTGACGTATGTAAGTAAATCGCCAGTTGACCTATATTTTCGAAATCCGTATTGCTTATCGTTGATAATTTTGTACTTTTCCAAGTACTTGGTTAGGTGATTGTTCACAACTCTTTCCATTACTTTTGATATCACCGGAAGTAGAGCAATTGGTCTATAGTTTAACGGATCTGTCTTTTTTCCTTTCTTTGGAATGGGTTGTACTGCGGCAGACTTCCATGATGATGGATATACTCCTCGCCTGTAAGACAAATTGAATAATTTTGCGAAAGTTGGGGTGAGTTCGTTGGCGCAATTTTTGAGTACTATTGCGGGAATGCCATCCGGACCCATTGCTTTGTTTGTATCCAGCTTTTTTAGGGATTTTCGTATTTCTCTGTGACAAAAGTGTACCTCTGGCATACTATGGGAAACCCTTTCAATGAACGGTGGAGTTTTTCCGTTTGGCACTGTTAGGTTGGAGTTGGAGGAAAACATTTGGGCAAGCATATTGGCTTTTTCCTCTGATGTTGTGGCTAAGTGATTATTTTTATCTGTAAGTGGTGGTATGGATGACTTGGTGAAGTTAGATCCAACAGCTTTTGCAAGAGACCAAAAAGACCTAGAACTACTTGGACAATTCAGCAACCTGTTTTTTATTCTTTGATTGTATGTTTCTTTAGCGGAGTCAATAGTAATTTTGCAACTATTTCTGGCTTCTATAAATTCTGTGTGGTTTTGAGCGGTTTGTTGTCGTTTCCAAAGGTTATATGCTCTGTGTTTTTTCTGTACAGCCGTTTGACACTGGCTGTTGAACCAAGGTTTTGCATTAGCTCTACGTTTAGTTGTATGTGGGATATATGCGTCCATTCCAGATAAGATTACTTGTGTTATTTCATTACAGCAAATAGTGGGATCAGCTGTTTTAAAGCAAACCTCTTGCCATGGAAAATCCAGGTAATACTGTTTTAGGTCATTCCATTTTGCCGATTTATAGTGCCACATTTTACGAGGAAGTGGTTGTAGGCTTGGTGGGATGAGCATTTCGCACTTTGTTATTATAAGTTTATGATCGGACGAACCAAGTGGAGCATCTACTTGAATTGTGTACGAGTCAGGATTGGTGGTTAAGAACAAGTCTAAAAGCGCTGCAAATTCGCCCCTTTCTGAGATACGGGTAGGTTCATCGACAAGCTGCGTTAGACCACAACTTATGGCAAAAGCTTCTGCTTCTCTGCCTTCGTTATCTGTTTTGTTGTGGTGTTTCAGCCAGGGTATATTGTGGACGTTGAAATCGCCTAAAAAGACAATTTCCGCCTGTGGATAGTTTGACTGTATACTATCACAGCTTTCGGATAATGTCGTGAAAAAGTTTTGGTAATCGGTGTTACTTGGCGGTCGGTAGAGGCAGCAGATAAACTTGGTCGATGACTTTGAGGTGAATTTTAGCCATATGATATCAAGGTTCGCTGGTTCTAGCTTCTCCTCTCGATGACATGAAAGGTCATTTTTAATGTACACACAGATCCCAAAATTATGTCGAAATCGGTGGTGTAGGTCATAGCCGGGATAAAGATAGTTCACAATAGGTGTTGCAGAACTGATTTTAGTTTCAGTGAGAACAAGGATGTCAGGTCCTTGTTCTTCAAGATGTTGGTGAACTGAATTCATATTTGTACTTATTCCTCTTATATTGCTAAAATCAATTCTGAGTTGAGTTTTTGATCTTCTCTTTATATCTTTGCATGAAGGACCCCCAGGATCACCCGACGCCCGGAGATCCGAGTGGTCGGGTATTTTACCTCCGGAATATTTTGATCCTGGAGGCGCCATCATGCTATCTGTTACTCATTGTTGGAACCGGACTGCCAGCGCAGTAGCGGAACGTGGTGATACCACTTAGCGCTACTCAATTCTGGCATGGTGGTATCTCACCGGTCGACGCCCAATGAGTAAAAAGCGTCTACCACCTACTACTTGGTTTCCAGTACTTTTAGATTCTTGTTGGCTTCAATTGTTTCTAAGATTTGTTTAGTTGTATAAGTTCTCAGGTCTGTCCTTATCATTTTTTTCACTCTTGCATTCTTCTCGTTATATTGTGGATCATCTCTCTTTAGTGTTCTACTCTCTGTTATTAAATCTAGAGTTTCTGGGCTTAGTTTTGTGTTCTTTGGTTTTTAACTTTTGCTGCATATTTTCTTTTTTGTTGTCTGGATGGACTCTGTTATTTTTTCAGCTAACTTGTTAAGTTCTGTTGGGTTTTCAATAAATTTTAGTTTCTTTTGAAGTTCATTTTGATATTCATCTTTTTTCTGGGTTAATATTGTCACGCTTAGGTTGTTTGTGGTCAGCGGTGCCACCACTTTATCTATACTTGGCTGCGTCGGCTAAGGGTTTATCCTGAAAAGAGATTATGGGGGAAAGGAAAGATTTCACCACTAGTAGTTAATACATCTATTGTTACACCCTAATTTATGTAGGAGATGATTAAATAGGGTTTACCAAAAATAGATCGCAGTAAATGTTCTTCCCTGGTGGGCCATTATTAAACATTCCCTAGGAATGACTATTTTTAGGGAAAGCCCTACACTGTCAATAGTAACCAAATTGCCCTATGGAAATATACCATCGAGGAGCTTAGTTTCCATAGGTCTAGGTTTGGGGCTTCTACAACATGACATTCACCTTAGGATCTCAGTCGAGCTGTAGCAAGTCACACCCAACTTGGAGAGAAAGTCTTTAGGCCTGTACCCTCGAGGAGCTCGAGGCGGTGGAGACTAACCTCTGCCTGACTGCATTGCGGTGCGCGTAATTTATACAAGAATTATCGCTACCGTCAGCAGAGTCAGTTAATTATCTGTAGTACAAGCGCCAAATTCATTTTACTTTTAGTCTGTGGGCTTGTAGACTTTACGAGTTGACAATATCTCCATTGTTGGGAACCTCGACTTTTGCATTAATTTTTGTCTTTCATGTCTGGCATTTATTTCTATTGTAGCTCTTACCAACCTGTGATCACTTCCGGTATTGAATCGATTTAAAACAGAGACATCCCTGAAAATATTCTTCTTGTTAGAAAATATATAGTCAATCTCATTTTTTGTCTTTTTGTCTGGGCTAACCCACTCATTCATTTTCGTTTGGGTGGTTTTTTGAAAAACGTTTTCATGCAATATAATTTTTCTTTGACCATAAAACTTGCCATCATATCTCCTCTATCATTCCGCTTTTCTAGTCCAAAATTTCCCAGGTATACGGGATCGCTTTGTTCTTCACTTCCGATCTTAACATTTAGGTCTCCTGTCACCACAATATAGTAAGATTTTTCTGTTTTTCATTTACTATGTCATAAATCTGATATCGTCTAATAGATAAGAATAATTTGGTTCAATTGCATCTCAAAAATAAAGAAAAAATAGACTCTTGGCTGACTTGCATCCTCTGCATTTTCAGGCAATTAAATGAACTCGTATGTATATATACTTCATTTTCTATATAGATGATACAGTTTTGAACAAATTCCTCTATTCTAAATAAATACATAGATATAGATCTTAAACCAATCCTTAAGAGGAATATGATTCAGTAGTTATTAAACTCAAACGTCCAAATTAAAACATTAAATACATTTACACACATTCCACCTCACAGTAATATTTATTGCTGTTTCAATTTCCACTGAATCTAGGTACATTTTGAGCCAAATGTACTAATGCATAATTATCGAAGTGTTGACATCATTACTATCTAGTAAATCATTAGCCAATCAATACATTCTACTTAATGAGGAATTGAAACCATAATTGGTTCTGTGAAAGTCAACATTAAAAGGCAATCTATCACAGAACCAATCTATTTCTGGTATTAAAGGGATAAAATATGAAACCCAATGACCGCGATAAAATCTGATGCATCAATGATGTTATTAACAATTTTCTAAAGTGTTGAGATGTCAAAAAAAAATTGTCATTTAGTTGTTGAATGTCGACGTTCATTAGGTTAAAAATAATTCAAATCATTGTAATGCTTTAGTTATTTCTCTGGTCAATATTGTTGTTCTAAGTGTTGCTATAAATGCTACAATATTGTTTTAATGTTGCGCATAATTTATGAATTTTTATCATGAACTTGACACACCACCAACACACACCTTCCATAATTATTTTGTCTTGCTGTTATTTCAATAAAATATTGTGATTCTATATAGCCATCTGGTGACGGTTTCGGCTGTGAACCTCACAATAAACCGAATAGCGTAAGTTTAGATTCGGTTTTCATTTACTGGCGTGGTTTAACATCTCCTTAGTTTCATGTTATCATCTATTACTTCTTGTTTATTTTTAGTGAATGCTTGATGTATATCAAAACAGAAATTACAAAAGTATCAAATTTTAAAGACATTTTAAGCATTTACTAAAATTTATCTACCCCAATTTTTTTTGTGTCCGATATTCAGTAGGTATAAGTATGATGATATTGTGCCAAGTTTGATATTTCCGTTTAATAAATTTTGTTGAATTTTTTTGGTCATCTCATTTGCATGGAATATCAGTGTGTGATGCATGTTGGCTTCCTCACCTAATTTCATGTTTAATGTGTCTAGTTTATTGTAAATAAAAAGAAATGTTTGCTTAAGAAACTTAACTCGATAAAAATTATTAACTTTCATAATGTAGATTCTTTTATCAAGTATCTTTTTTGGATCTATAGCAAACAAAGACATACAACATCTCCGTTTCATCGTACACTTGATGAATCTTCATCGAATCGTCTATCCTGGCCGCAGTTTTACCAACGCAACAGAACAAATTTGCCAAGTTCTACAAAAAATAATAACGAGGACGATCGTAGGAGAAGAGATTCGTCCAGTTCTCAAGGGGCTTACGCTTTACAAAAAACCCTTTGTCCTGATGAGGCTAGAGCAATGCAACGGGCCAATCAGATTGTGATGTATGTTTTCTTTTTTGGCTAGGTGGAGGATTTTAAATGTTTCTTGTGACTAATTTGGGTCAAATGTTCTAATTATTACAGCTTTTTATACCGCCAGCTGCTTATATTTGTCAAAGAGTCACGTTGATGTTTAATATTTTTTCTTAGGAGATATGGTTTCGGGATATAAATACATAGTTTTGTGATTCTTGGTATTTTACTTTCAAATTTTGCTGTCAATGTAATTATAGTATTTTGTAAGGGTCTGATTTATTTAGGGGTTGAATTATGTGGGAGGCGAGATCTACTACACAATTTCCTCCATAAAGAACTCTTGTTGGTTGAATTTACAGAATTTGATTGGTATGGTTTAGTTTAGGATACATATTAATATTTCCTTACTTTTCTCCTCTATTGGTCTGTTCCAACTCCACCAGAAACTGTTCAAGACCTGTTTTTGTGCTAATAATCTAAGTAATGATAAGGAGCAAAAATTATAATTAATATTGTGTATGATTTTTGGTGCTACTGGAACAGTCCTATCTACTACTAATTATTATGATTGTATAACAAGCATGTTACGTGTGCATGATATTTGATTGAAAACCGAACCGTTTTTCAAAAAATTGAGTTTTTTTTTTTATAAAACAGGAAGAATAAATCCTTCAGACCGCGGGAACGTGGCAAGAAAGGTTTGAAAAACCTCCAATCAGTCAAAACTCTCGCTGGCAGGACTGGGATTACAGCAATGAATCAGAGTCAACTCAGCAAAGCTAGGAAACAACCTATGACGGTGGCAGCTCAATTTCAGCAAAGCCTTCATTCTCTGATGGACACTTTAAATCAGGCCAATCCATTTTTCATTCGTTGTATTAAGTCGAATAGCGATAAAATTCCTAATACTTTTGATCCTGACACTGTCCAAAGACAACTTAGGTAAGTCAAATGCTTTCACAGGCAATTTTAAAGGAATATTGATGTGATAAATGTAATCTTAATTATTTTATAGCGAATATATTTCAATAACAGGCAACATTCAGTTTATAATTGCGTGCTCTTTTTATGTATTCCAATTATTTTATTAAAAATTGTTTTAGGTATACTGGCATGTTGGAGACAGTCAGGATTCGTCAGGCTGGTTTCAACGTACGATTAACTTATGACGAATTTATTCAGTTATATCGAATACTACTCCCGAAGGGTTTGTTGAGTTCGCAACTTGATGTGAGGAATTTTTTGGCTACGTTAAATTTGAATAGAGATAATTATCAGTTGGGTAAGATTTCCATAAAACTCATTCAATATACATGTATCATAAAAAATATCTTGTTTATAACTTTATCACAGTAATTTTGCACCTAATTCTGATGATATAATAATGATGCAAATAGCCAGTGTATTTCATGTCTGAGAAAATTCAGTTTCAACTCATCTTAAAAAGTACTATGTAACTATTTTGTTTCGAGTAATTATAGTGTTTTTATCATTTAATTATTATTTGCAGGGACCTCCAAAGTATTTATGAGAGAATCAGAAAAACACAAGTTGGATAGTAGGCTCCATCAAAAAATCATGGCCGGAATTGTGACACTTCAGAGATGGTTTCGTGCGTGCTTGGAAAGGAGAAGATTTTTGAGGATGAAGGTAGAGATAGATCATACAAGTATGGGCCACGACGCTAGAGGTTTTTCTTTCTATGCGGGCGTCGTCGCGACGCGTATTTATTGGTGAACTGTTTGATATTCCAGTTCATTTATACGTCATCGGCGTGCCTACAATTGCACAAAAATCATTTTTAATTAAGCTTAGTTAAGTTTCCTTTTTTGTAGCAAGGAGCATTATTTCTACATGTTTTTTTTACTTTTATTCTTTATCTTTAGCTAAAATTTGAAATAATTAGGAAGAACCATTCTACCTTACAGTAAAGAAAAATGATGAGTTGAACTATGTGAACCTGAAACTGTACCTACATGCTTAAAAACCTATCTCGATAACCTATATTGATAAATATGCAAAAAAATAATATAGAAAAGAAGACACTGAGGCTTCTCCTGAATTCGCTAGTTAAATTTGAATTATTTCTTTTTATTTTTGATTATTTGGAATAGTAAGTAGCTACCTGAAAAGACTTGTTCATCTTCTGATGCGCCGTCCTCATCCGAACTGTCTTCACTGAATTCCGACAAGCCTTTGTTGACAGTGATCACCAAGTTTTTAAAGATGCTCTTTTTGTATGAGCTCATCTTCATATTTCCTCACTTGCTGACAAATGTTGATCCATTCTTGCTTAGTCACCTCAATTTTTCTTCTTGCCAGCAGCTCTGTATCAGCCAGTTTAAATGTTGTATGTACTGCGCGACAATCCAATTTTTTGATAACGCCCATATTTTTTCTATGAGGTTTAGCTAAGGGTGATACGGAGGCAAACGCAAGACGTAGTGATCATGTCATTCTAGCAATTCGTCTAACTTTTATAGTATCGGAAAGCGACATTTATTTTTCAATATAAACTGGTACAATTCTGGGTGCTCCTTTTTGGAGGGGCGAAGCCCTTTATTTGGAGAGCGGAGCCTCTTATTTGGGAGCACAGCCCCGCAGGGCCCCCTATTTTGGGTGGCATAGCCCCGCGAAGGTAGGGAATCCTAACAATTTTTTTGGACAATTTAGTTATAGGCCAAGGATCATGATAAAAACATCCGGTTCCATTATTTTTTTGTGTATAAAAAAATCGTGCGGAAAAGTAAAATCGTGCGGAAAAGTAAAATCGTGCGGAAAAGTAAAATCGTGCTGAAAAGTTACTTTTCCGCACGATTATTTTATTGCTAAAAATGAAGATATTTGGGATCAAATAAATGATTTATGTTATATATTATTTTATATGTGGTATTTTGTACCATCATTATAAAATCTTTGCGTATTGGAACATTTTTTTTGATAAATAAGATGGACAAAAGCACTCATAGGAAAAATATTGTACCTAACTCTTGCGGAAAATGTCTTTTCCTACAGCCGTGCGGAAAAATCGATTTTCCGCACTGATATGCGTGCGGAAAATGAGTTTTCCCGCACGGTGCGGTAAAACTTTTTTTTTTGACATATCAATGCGGAAAGAAAAATTTTACATTTTTACGCCTGTAGGAAAAATATTGTACCTAACACTTGCGAAAAATATTTTTCCGCACTCGGCTGCATCAGCGAACGACGCGCATCACCGAACTCCGCTACGCGTCGTTCGGTGAACGGCAGCCGCGTGCGGAAAAATTCATTTTCCGCACTTGTTAGGTAAATAACTATTTCCACCCTCGACGGCTTGCCTGAACTCCGCTCCGCGTCGTTCGTGCAACTGCCGTCTCGTGCGGCAAAGTACCACTTTCCGCACATGTTAGGTAAATAACTATTTCCTACGAGCGTGCGGAAAAGTTACTTTTCCGCACGATTTTTCGTTTTGAAAGTTTTACTTTTCCTCACTATTTTACTTTTCCGCACGATTTTTTTACTTTTCCGCACGATTTTTACTTCTCCGCACGATTTTTACTTCTCCGCACGATTTTTACTCTATGGGTACTATTTTTTATTTCAAACCAAATAATTACTATTTTAATTGAAAAAAAGTCTATTCTCACAGTGGACCTTTTCAAATATCAAGAAGTAAAATTTTCCCACAAACTTTTTTTTCTGGTTTCCATATTAAAATCCGGGGGCCCCCTATTTGGAGGGCACAGTTCCGCGGGGCCCCTTATTGAGGGGCGGGAGCCCCCTATTTGGGGGCACGGTCCCGCGGAGGTCCCTTTTTGAGGGGTGGAGCCCCGCGGGAGCCCCTTATTTGGAGGGCACAGCCCCGCAGTGCCCCCTATTTCAGGTGGCATAGCCCCGCGAGGGTGGAGGATCCTATCAATTTTTTTGGCTAATTTAGATATAGGCCAAGGATCATGATAAAAAAATCCCATTGCATTATTTTTTTGTGCATAAAAAAATCGTGCGGAAAAGAAAATAGTGCGGAAAAGTTACTTTTCCACACTAGTGCTGAAAAGTTACTTTTCCGCACGATTTTTTTATTGTTAAAAATGAAGATATTTAGGATCAAGTAAATGATTTATGTTAATATTTTATATTATGTGCTATTTTGTACCATCATTATAAAATCTTTGCGTATTGGAAACATTCTTTTTGATAAATAAGATGGATATAAACACTCGTAGGAAAAATATTGTACCTAACTCTTGCGGAACATGTCTTTTCCACCCTCGACGGCTTGCCCGAACTCCGCTTCGCGTCGTTCGTGCAACTGCCGTCTCGTGCGGAAAAGTACCACTTTCCGCACTGGTTAGGTAAATAACTATACCGCACGCCGTGCGGTAATATGATACTTACCGCACGCAAAATCGTGTAATATACCTTAGTTACCGCACGCTTGTAGATAAATATCTTAAAACTACTTGTAATTTGAGTCTTGCTGAAAGAGCGTCCCTTAATGGAGGATTTTTTTTCTGTATCAAGGGTGACACTTTCTGTAGAAGTTCTTCAAATTTCTCTTCGGTCATTCTTGAGTGGTTCCTATAAGCATCCTGTTCACCTGTTCCCCATTCTTTTATCAGGTTTGCAGAAGCACCCTCATATATACGTTGTTTTATCCACGGTCGAACCCACCAACGACGAAGTTTTCTATTTTTCCTGTTTTTTATCGCGGTTTTTAAATACTCATAGAAAATACGAACACCGGCACGCAGAATTTTCCTCTTTGCAGCCATTTTTAAAACACACTAGATCTTCAATGTTATTGGAAAATGTGAACAAATTTCACATTCCATTCTATGTTCACTCCTATAGATTCAATAATACTGATCTATGAAATGGCGTAGTGAGGGCCCAGCTTTAGATAGAAATCATAAACTATGTCTCGGATACCCTTAATCTGAGTTCGTGTGACAAAATCGAGTTTCCAATTCTTTACAATTCGCTATTTTTGTGGCGATTGAAAAGATGTTCTAGGTCCTCCCCATTGGACTATCATAGCTTCTTTCGAATTTTCTGGATGGTACCCTATGACACGCCAGTGGCAGCTAATGTTCTTTCCCTTCATCTATGAACCAAGATGGCGTCTGAATAGTAGTCTACTTCGGTGCTGCCCAAATTTACTTCTAATTTTTACCTTAAACGGCATTTTAAAAGTTTGTTACTTGTGTGAAAAGTTTGAGTAGTGTATCCTTCGTGTCATAACGATAAAGATCGTAAATTTACTGCTTTAGTAAAGGAATTATTGTACTAAAACAATATAGTCGCGGTGCTTAGTGGTATGAACTTGCGCAGTGTCAACATGGGTTTAACAAGTGGAGATTTGGACAAAATTAAGAATATCGTCAAGACTATCTTCACTGAGGATTTTCTCCAGACGGTTGCTGAATCTGTCGTCAAGATAGTCAGTGAGAAATTTGAGAAACGCATGGATGACCAGGATAAGCGTATTAATTCTATGGCTCAAGAAATCTCGGATCTTAAAAAAAATAACCTGTCATTTGCTAGGGCCCTTGACAACTGTGAACAGGCATCCAGAAACTTAAATATTCGGATCTTTGGCATGCCTGAAGAGGAGAACGAGGACTTGCGGAAGGAAATTCTAGGTATTTTTACCAAAAAAATGAAGGTCAATGTTCGAGATTTAGACATAAAAAAGTGCCATCGAGTAAAATCAAAAACGCCCGGCGGTAAACCGTCAGCTGTTTTAGTTCGCTTCGATTCTGATAACGCGCGAGTGGCCGTTTTACAAAATCGTAAAAATCTTCGGGATGCCGGTATACAAATAAAGGAGGATCTGACAAAATATAAACTCGACCTTTTAAAAAAGGCTGTGGAAAAATTTTCATCAAAGTGCGCATGGTGTTTAAACGGCAATATTTACATAAAACGAGGAAATGATGTGACGCGCGTTGACAGCGAGGATGACTTCTTAACAATCATTTAATTAAGGTACTGTCAACAATATTTATAACAACTGTCCATTTATTTCATTCTCTTCTCTCATAGCCTGGTTTAAAGCATTTATTTATTTATAGCCGCTTTTTCTCATGAGTTCTTATTTTTTTTATTTTTTTCTAACTCTACTACTGATGCACTTTCCTCGTTCTGCGTTTATTCTTTTTTTATTGCATTTGAAATTCAATAATATAAATATTTTGCTGTGACATCTGCAATGTTGAAAAAGCAAAAGTTCCGAATTGAATTGAATTCCATTTTTGTTTTGTAAACAACACTTAATAAACAGCATAGAATATTAACAGTCATTCTGCTTGGATTTTTTATTGTAATTCCTTTTTTGAATAATTATTCGTAGAGGTAGAAACCATATTTAAGTTACTCTCAGTAAAAGTAAAATATAGCTTTAAGTAATAATGTAATATCTGGTAATTGAAATTATATGACTCCTATTTAAATGCAGTACCGTTTCGAAGTGACGATACTTGTTCTCTCTATTTTTTATTTTTTTTTTTTCTCTGAAATCGAAGAAAACTTTTTTTTTTCCTTTCTTTTTTTTCTCCTGCTTTAATCTCACCCCTCCTTTCTTACTACTTTTTCAGTCCTCACTCTTCTTCGTCTTCATCTCTAAGGTATAAATGTTGAGCTTTGCACATCTTAATGTTAGATCATTACTCAACAACTTTGATCTATTTAAAGATCATATCACTACTAATAAATACAGTTTAATTGGAATCTCTGAAAGTTGGTTGAATCCTAATATATCTGATCAGGATGTTTCTGTTGAAAACTATAATTTTGTAAGACGCGATCGTTTAGGGCGCGGTGGAGGCGTCGGTCTTTACATAAGAAATGATTTAGATTATTCTTTAGTTCTAAGTGAGTGTAGAGAGTTTGTTGAGCATGTGTGGGTTAAACTGAAGTACAATAATGAAGTTATTGTTGTGGGAAATCTCTATAGACCCCCTCAGGGTAGCCGTGTAGAGTTTCTTACCTATTTTGAGGATATTTTAATAAATTTCTTTGCAAACTCAGATAAAATTATATGTTTTGGAGACTTTAACATAAACATGCTAGACATTGATTCCGGATATGTAAGTCAACTTAATAATATTTTAGAAACATTTGGTTTAAATCAGTTAATTTCTGAACCAACTAGGATTTCGAATATAAGTGAAACACTAATCGACTTGATTTGTTACAACTCGGATAATATTCAGGATGTAGGAGTAATTGATGTTGGCATATCCGATCATCTTCTTGTATATTGCTGTCTCCAGTTTTTGATGTTAGAGCCTGAAAAAATCGTTTATACATATCGACCTTTAAATCAAATTAACTTAATCAGATTTCAGGCAGATTTGGAAAGTGCTGATTGGAATATTTTATATGAGATAGAATCTATAGATCAAAAGGTATTATATTTAACTGACACTATATTGCACATTTTCGATATTCATGCACCCTCAAAAGTTTACAGAGGAAAAAAAAGACCCTACTGTCCATGGATAACTGACAACATAAAATACATGAAAAAACTCAGAAATCAAGCTTTAAACCGTTTTCGAAGGACTAAAAACCAAGAACACTGGAATTATTATAAGCAATTGAGAAATTACACAACATCGGCTATTAGATCTGAAAAAAAAGCTTACCTAAATTTTAAACTTCAAACTTGCAGCACAAAGGAAAAATGGAACGAACTTAAAAAACTTAATATCATAACAAATAAAAAAAGTAACACCATACCAAGTAATCTGACAAATTTAGACCAACTTAATAATTATTTTACGCAAATAACAAATAGCAATGATATACCTAACCAAGAACTCATAAACTTTTATAAAAATAATTTATTGGTCAATGAAACTTTTTTTTTTCAGCCAGTTAGCGAATATTTGATTTCCAAAATTCTCCTTAAACTCAAATCTAAAGCTCTAGGATCGGATAATCTCAATATAACGCTGATTACTTTGTGTTGTCCATTTATAATTCCATTTATAACACACATTATAAATTGCTGCCTAAGTGAATCACACTTTCCCCAATCTTGGAAGTCCGCCAATGTAATTCCTCTCCCCAAAATTAAAAATCCTACCGAGTTTGGTCATTTACGATCAATTTCTATTTTACCCACTCTCTCAAAAATCCTTGAAAAAGTTATGGAACTTCAGATAAATACATTCCTCAACAACAATAACATAATACCCAGCAAACAATCCGGCTTTAGAGCGGGCTATAGCTGCTCAACAGCTTTGTCTGATTTAACTGATGATATAGTGCGGGCGCAGGACAACAGCAATGCTAGTGTGCTCATTTTATTAGACTATACAAAAGCATTTGATATGCTTCACCATGAAATTCTTCTGTCGATTTTAAAATACGTAGGCTTCAGTAAGTCGGCGTCTCTACTTGTGTCCTCATTCCTTTCAAAGAGATCTCAAAGAGTTACTCTTGACGGACAATATTCGGAATCTCTTAATGTCTTTGCGGGAGTGCCTCAGGGTAGTATTTTGGGTCCTCTTCTGTATAGTATATTCACCTCTAACTTTATAAAATCATTAAAATTTTGTCAATACCACTTATACGCAGACGATACGCAAATCTATTTATCTTTCAAACCTTCAGAAGTAGCTGCAGCCAATAAGCTGATCAATGAAGATCTGAAATCGTTGCTTGATGAATCAAATAAACATTTGCTTAAAATAAATCCTAACAAATCGGTAGCTCTCCTGTTTTGTAATGAAAATATTAGAAATGATCTTTTAGGCAATATTGAACTAAATCTAGGACAAGACACGATATCATTTAAAAATTCGGCTAAAAACTTGGGACTTGTCATGGATAGCAAACTCAAATTTACAGAACACATAACACTTTGCTTAAAAAGAGCATATTCAGTTTTGAGGGGTTTATACTCTCATAGACACTATCTTTGTCAAAGAACTAAAACTTTGATTTGCGACTCTTTAATTCTCTCGCATTTTAATTTTTGCGATCACCTATATGGGCCTTTTTTGGATTCGATAGATGTTAGGAGAGTCCAAAAGGTTCAGAACTCTTGCATTAGGTTTGCGTGTGGAATAAGACGAAGAGACCGAGTTTCACATAAACTGAATGAATTGGGCTGGTTAAGTATGTTTAACAGGCGTAGTCTGCACTCACTATGCTTCTTTTATAAATTAATAAAATTTAAAACTCCACCATACCTACACAATAAAATCAAATATCGAACTGACATTCATAATTTAAACATTCGCAGGAAACAGCTTTTGACAATACCGTCTCACAATAAAGAATTCTTCAAAAAGTCATTCAGCTATACCATTGCCTCACTCATTAACAAATATGAAATAATTGATTTTTCTACATCTGTTGGTGTTTTTAAAAAAAGAATGAAATTAAAACTAATTTAAAATATAATATATTATATTTCCTGCTCTAGATAAATCGCCCTTAATTTCCTGCACATAAATAATTGGGTACATCATGAAATTCCTATCTGCTTTAATATTATTCTCCGCTCTAGTATATATATTATTCTCTGCCATGTGCCCTCTTTTTCTTTTTCTTTTCTTTCCTTCTTTTCTCTATTTTTCCACCTCCTTCTTCTCTTTCTTCGTCTTACAGTTTAAGTATCAAGTGCGTTACTTGATTTTCATATTCATAGATCTTAGATAAGCCTTTCTTAATATTTTATTTTAAGCAATTTTTTGGGGCCTCAACAGCACTCATGCTTGCGCGGGATGCTGCAAATATGGCCTATTATTCCCCACATTTATCTTAGTTAACTGTTTGGAATGTAATTTTTCTGGAGATAATAAATATTATTATTATTATTATTATTATTATAATATTCAATTTGTTTCTGACTGAAAACTATTATTTTTCTATAGACATAAAAAAAACAACCAAAATAATTTCTACATTAATACCTATCGGTTTTCAAAGGCATGGTACGCCCTTCTTCAACCTCTTTTTTCATATATTCACTCACATGACTCGAAATTTCACAGCTTTGACTATGTGAAACACGACCTTTTCCAAGTTTTTTAGGCGACATAACCGACGCACTAAGCAAATAAAAATCGGCTACTAAATTCACTATTATAAGTCGAGTCGCCTTATTGGTATGAGAAGGTGCTTAATTCCTGAGGCTATTAATGTTATAGATGTACCTCTGGGTCATTGTTAGAAAGGGTCATATTAATGAGATCAGTCGGTTTTTGTTCAACTTTAAAAGTGTTGGGTGACAAAAAAAAAATATCGTGAAAATTTACAGAGTTTCAGTTCTAGATCAAGAATAATGAATATTTGAGTAGATATAGGCAGGCACGAGCCAGAGAGTTAGGTAAATTGATCGTGAAACTAATCAAATTAACATATGAGAAAAGCTATCAAATTCTTTATCTGGAATTTTTTTCCCAGGAAAAAAATCACATTCTATTTATACGCATTACAATCAAGGCAAGACTACAGCTCTGCCCAAAGTATGGTTACAAAAAAAACTGCTGGCAACGCTGAATATTTATCCCTATGCAATACTATGCATGTGAACCTGGCGTATTATTTTTCAGTTCTGCATAAAAGACCTTTGGCCCGCCACAGCGTTGCCAGCTTATTGAGCGCTATCATTTGTACGATGGCAGTGCACGTCTTTGGCGACATATTTGCGATCTTTGTCTATTTGGAGCGTCATGGCCTATACTTGCATGACTATTGCGTATTTGTGAAATTTTTCAAATTTACAAAACTGAGGTCATAGACATCTACAATACTTTCCAACTGTTTCTTATTTATTTACAGTCCGCTGTTGTATTATTACAATCCTATTGTCGTATGTATTTGGTTCAGAAAAGTGTAAGACGACTTATGGCGGCCATTAAAATTCAAAAACATTGGAGAGGCTATAGGGCTAGACAATGGTACCATAAACTCAAATCGAGTTTAGTAAGCTTTCAGGCTCATTGCAGAGGTTTCAAGTTGAGGCAAATGATCGCCGTTGGAAAATATCACAGAAAAGCAAAAGTAAATTTTTAAATCAATGATTAATTTGTATCTTATTTAATAATTATTCCAATTTTAGGCAATCCAAATGGTACCACCCCAGCTTGAAGCTAAGAAAGTTAGTTCGGATGAAGCATTTGTAAGCAAGGAGTCTAGTCAGGAAGAATTAAGAGTTGGACCTCCAGATAAACGATTTAATGATTCAGATGAGTAAGTGTCTAATTAATGGAAGCTCAAGATAGATCATAATTTATATTTAGTTGTTGAAATGTCAAAACACCGGTTTTGACCGGGGTCAAAACCATTTATTCAAAAATCTGAATATATTTATACATGCTTATATTTCTGTTACTTTGTGCATGAGGTACCAACTTGCCTTCCAACGCTCACGCTCAACGATGTACCTCTAATATACACCAGTCGTGCTTTTATCGAGAAACTGCTTTTTTCAAAGAATCAGGAATCTTTTGATAATCAAAAATTGGAAATGAAGAAAATTTTAACGGGTTTTTGTGGGTGTTCAGCTGTGGCAAGCTCGAAGGTCAGTAAAAGACTTTCGGTTGATTTCCAGCGGTTTTCTCGGGCGCCATCCTCAGGATTATAGTTAGTGAGGTCCCACTTGCACCAGGTAGCTTGTTACAGTGAATAAACTTTATTAACGAACAAGCCATTTACAGTAAATAACATAATACAAAAATATATGACGTTATAATATTGAAGAAAAACACAACAACTTAAAATTTATCATTTACGGTACATATATAAATACATTGACATTTAGCGCTGCAGACCATTTAACATTTGTTTACAAGTTTTCAGAGACATACCAAAAAAATCAAAATTGTTGGGTAGCTGATTAGTTTCTCTGCATATTCTAGGCATAGGGCAGAAAAAACCATAATTAGTCCTATGATACTCGCTAGGAAAAAGATGCACTTGCCTAGTCTGTCTCACAGGGGCACGCAGGGAAATGCTGTTCAACAGAAGGGGACAGTCAATTAAGTGATTAAGCAACTTGAAAAGTAAACAAATATCATAATTCCTTCTACATGCCTCCAAACTAGAAAGACCCAGCAACCGCAACAGGTCAATGTAGCAGATCTCTTTTGATGGTATAGGCAATATGCCTTAGAAAGCGTTCCTCAACTCTCTCAACACAATTTATATAGACCCCATAAGGGGGTGACCAAATTGGGGTAGCATATTCCAAAAGGGATCTCACTACAGTACAGTAAACGCTCCTTATAGTAAAAATATTATTAAAATCTTTTAGGGTGCGAAATACAAATCCCAAAAGTTTCATTGCCCTATTACAAATATTCTCAATATGCAAGTTAAATGTTAGGTCTTGTCTAAATGTAACTCCCAAATCCTTAATAGAGTCCACTCTTTCAACTACTTGATCATTTAATTTATATTCATAAAAAATTGAAGCATGAGATTTAGAGAACGTTATGGTTTTACATTTATTTAAATTAAGGATTAGGTCATTCAGGTGACACCACAGAGCAAAACAATTCAGGTCTAGTTGTAACTTCTTACAGTCTGATATGCACTTAACAGGCCTATACAACTTCAAATGTGGAGAAGTGGAGAAGAAAAACCGGAGGTCATGCGCAGGAAAAGAATAACTCCAATCCACTGAATAACATGTTTAGTCCTCACAATCAATTAAACAGGAAAGAATAACTAAAATCTAACAAAGAAACAGTGAGGGGGGCAACGAAATGTTAAAAAGCGTTTCGGTAGAACGCAGCGGGTGCGATAACGCGTTACGGTAAGGTATACAGTAGGACAGCCGGCAAAATTCTGTACGGTTCGGTAATCGGTATAATTCGGTACGGTTCGGCAATCGCCTTTGCCCTCAGCTCATATAAGTGAAAGCTTAAAGCGCTTGCACGAATGAAACGGATCGGCCGAGCACAGGTGTTAATACTGAGTATTCCTACAGGAGGTATACAGAGTATCAAAAACAGACGATCCACCATTGCCACACCTATGTGTAGTTAAATTTAATGGGTGCGCACTACAAGCAGTTCACACTAGACCTTACTAGCACAAAAATCAGCTGCTTTTCAAAAATACTGCCAATAACTATGTATTCGATATGGTATATTATTAATTTTTTCCTTTCCTTGTTTTCAGGAGTAGCGGTATTCAAGAAGACGATTTGGAAAATAGTAATCCCAATAAGTTACTCCTAAGATCAACTGTTTCGCTGCCAATGGTTTCACCTACGAATTCATATTCATATTATTCTCCTTATTTGAATAGTTCTTCTAATATCAATAGGTAAGATAAGGCTTTTCACCTTGCTAGTGCACTAAGCTCAATCTCATAAGTAAAATGGCTCAATTGTATCAATAGATTTGAGGAATATGAACAAAGAAAAAAAATCAGTAAGTCCCATCAAACCATTGACTATTCAGACCTTGACTATTCACCACAAAGAAAAGGCAGCGGCGAATCATTGGACTCACAAAGAAGCTATGAATCCCAACAGAGTGCCGATTCGCACTTGAGCAATACAGTACGTGAAACAGCCAAAGCAGAAACACCTTCACATTTGGACAAACAATGGTCGAGCACTAGTACAACTAGCGAAACAACTTTGTCAGAATCGGCTGCTCCTACAAATACAAGGTCTGCACCGCCTCATATATCAGAGAAATTCACTAAATTCCAATCTTCCGAAGACGGGGATGTGAATTCCTCGTTCAAACCGCAATTGACTAGATCGCAGGCTGTGAATTGGGCTGCAACGGCTGTGAAAAGAGATAGTAGGTGAGTAGACTAAGGGCTTTTTATAAGAGTTCTTATGGATAATATATTGGCCAGATTTTGATATAGGTTTGTTAAGTTTACGAAGGAATGAACTGGCTTAAATTGGTAATAGATTCCGTAAAAAGCGGTTATGAATTCTAAAACTACCAAACTGAAGCCAACCTGTCTTGAACCAGGTTTACTAAAAAGTTACGTATATGGGTTCGCAAATAAGTTTGACTGCTGCCAAACATAAATAAGCTTTATTCAAAACAATCACACAAATATTACAGGAAAACCAGCACCATTACAACAGTTCGCTTATGCTGTTCTAGGCAGAAACGAATCCAACAATTCAAAGATAATAAAAATCAGCCCAGCCACTCCTGATTTATAAACGGTGTAACTAACCCGACTTTGCTTTATACATAAAGATGTTTAACAAATATCAAACTGAATCACGAAAAAGCAGACTCATTTATTTGATACATGAAACTCCCCCAAAAAATGTTTAAATTTAATTCTACCTTCATTAACATTTTAAGGTATGTGAATGATAATATGCGAGGTCTAAGAAGTTTCCCAGTGAGACGGCCAAGCAAAGCGTACGAGGACCGACCGGACGTGTATCCATTTGACAATAAGCCAAATAAAACTGAAGAAATTTTGGGACGACCTGAGGCTCCAGTGAGGAGCACGCGGAAATCGAAACGTGGCCATGTGAAAAGCTTAGGAGAGGAGGTATATAGACCAATACAGGTTAACAATGCTTTATATAATTAATAATTTGAAAGTAGTCACACTCATTTAACTATTATTTTCCATAGCATAATAAATTTTGGCTTGATTTAAAAACTCCATAAAAACATAATTTTATTATGTGAATTTTTTTGTAGGTTACAGATTCTGGCAGTATTGATAAGGGTATCCTAGGGACTATCGACGAACGCAAGGCTCATTTTTCAGATTTCAGTCGTTTGACTGCTAATTTTATTGCTCCAGATAAGCAATCATTGACGCCAAAACGACAAAGACAGAATCTCCCTCAACTAGATTTAAGACGAAGAAACAGCGACCCTGCTACCAAAGTATTAATTAATGAAAATTCAGGTACCTATACCCTAATATTCATTTATTCTTCAGAAAGTAACTGTTTTGATTATTAGGTATTGAATCTAGTCCGGCAATCAAAAACAATGACAAATGGAGCGATTACAATAGTTTAATGTTAGCAGGACATTCATTTAGAAAAATATCTAGGCTATCAAAAGATGACACTTGTTCATTTTGTAAAGAAAAATTGGATATGTTTATCACACAAGGCTACAAATGCACCACTTGTAAAAAACTCTTCCATACCAAATGTATTCAGAATAAGAGCGTATTTGAAATTCCATGTGACTCTCAGAGATCTGGAGGCGATTCAGGCAAGTCAGGAAGAAGAAAACAAAGAAAACATTCCAGAGCTCCTTACGATCTAAATAAATCCGAAGAAGCAAAATTCAGTCTCACAGGTACATCAGAATTTACAGATAGAACCGATCAAATCATTACCGGAGCCGAAGAGTTGACCTTAATGCAAGAATTCATAACCGAAAAGATAATGAAAATCGAAAATGATGGTGGTAAATCAAGTGAAGTCGATAAAGTATTCAAACAAGCCTTAAGAGAGTTCAAAGACAATTTGGTGCAAATGTACAGTGCGGCCACCAAACATAACGGTATCGAAGCGTGCAATCTTAGATATAAGGATTTAATTAGTATTTTTAATCAAGCTATGGAGACAGTGTGTCAAAGAGAGCTGAAGGAAAATGAAACAAAGAACTTCCCAATTACTTTAGGAGTGAATGCGTTCAGGTGAGAATTTCGCCTTTTCCTTTAATCCTTTCGCTAACTGTATTTATGTTTTACTTATAGATTTATTCAATATTTATTTGAAATATTTTTTTTATTTCAGGGGTTTCATGAATGAATTTATGTCGACTAAATCCGAAATAAAACCGAGCAAAGCGAAACGAAAAAAAGAGAAAAAACGTAAAGTGGAAACTTACACATATAAGGGGCACACGTTCCTGCAGACAATCATCAACATACAGACGGCGTGCGAAGTATGTAATTCATTTGTTATGTGGCCGATAGAGAGGGGTCTCGTGTGCCAAAGCTGCAAACTCACCTGCCATAAAAAGTGTTACACCAATTCAGGCCAGTGCCAAAAAGAACCCGGAATGCAGGGCGATAATAAAAGGATATTTGGTGTGGCCCTGGTTACACTTGTGACTGATGAACATAAAATTCCATTAGTGATAGAAAAACTTATTTATACAATAGAACTCAAGGGGATATACACAGAAGGGATTTATAGAAAATCTGGTGTAAAATCGAAAATAACGGAACTTAAAAATCAGATGGATGAACATCCTGATAGTTGTGAATTTGAAAAATATCAGGTTCATGTTCTAGCATCGGTTTTAAAGGTAATCATTATTTTATTTTCTATGAAGCTTGCATGCGTCTAATCTATAAACGCTACATTAAATATACCCTAAAACTAATGTATTTAATTTCTATTTTAGACCTTCCTTAGAGAAATGTCTGAACCTTTACTTACATTCGAGTACTATGAAAACTTCATAACAGCTGCAAATTTGGAAAACGACAACGACAGGATAACCACTCTGTATGATATCCTCAAAAAATTACCTTCCCCAAATTACGACCTGATGGAACGGCTGATTTTTCATTTGGCACGAGTGGCACTTCACGAAGAAACAAATCGAATGAGCTCGTCCTCATTGGCCATAGTTTTTGCACCCTGCGTGTTGAGGACCAATAAACGGGTGCCAGCGCAGGAGTGTTTGCATGATATTACCAGCCAGACGAGGTGTATCGAGACTATTATCAAGTAAGAACAATTTTGATTTTTTGTGAAATCTTGATTCGAAGTTCCATTTTTCAAGAATTATATTCTCCAGTATATAAACAGGTTAAATTATTCTAGCTAGATTATTGTTCTTGAAAAATATTCATAATATGCTTTCTTTATTATACTATCTAAGTAATAGACTTTTCATTCTCCCCCCTACGAAATTAGATTTTTTTATCTTGAATAGACGAGCGAAAGTGAAAGTAAAACATGCTAGTAGTTCCCTTCGCGTTCCTTTAGAACCTAAAAGTACGCTTTCGCAGCTTGGAATGTAAATGACTATATTTCTATGTATATACCTAAGATATTCTTGAAAAATGTATTTTGCATTGCGAAAGAAATACTTCAACAATTAACAACTACAATAATAAAACCACTCATATTAAATAACGAATGGGTTCTGGCCGAGATCTCAAATCAACTTACTCTCTGGTACTAGGTTTAAGCCAAAAAGTGAGATAAAGATTATTTAAACTAATAAGGAAATCTATTATTTTGCCTATTGTTGATTTCTAGTGGCATTTATGTAACACCTATATAACTTTGCAAATATTCAGGCCTATGATGTATCATTTTCTGTTATTTTAACAGCAGCGTTAAATAATCTGTTGCTGTTTATTCTATACGTCAAAATAGAGACGGAAATAGATGTTGAGCCTTAACACCGCCGTTAAAATAACAGGACAGGATACATCATAGGCCTGATTATGTCTGTTCGTCTAGTATAATTTATTTAATTCGAGCAAAATATAAACTCAAATTTCTTAGGGTTCAACTGAAAAAGCTGCGTCTAACACTAGACGACATCGATACACTAGACACTGCGTGTCAAGCAGCAACAAATCGACTGTCTTCCCTACGAAGCTCCAAAGTTTTCAGTCCAGACGAATTACTGCCAAACAGCAATCAGCCATCTCAACAGCAAACGGACGATGAAGAGCATTTACTGGTTGATCATATCCAGGAAATCCAGAAGGAAAAAGAGCACCTGACTTCTACATTGCCAACTTTAACTCACGCAACGTCAGATGATGATATGTTGTCTACAGATGGGGATGGGAGTTTGGATGATCTTACTTGTTTAGGTAAGTAATTTTAAGTGTTGAAGTTTTTTGTTGACCAGTTGGGTTTCTCTTATTTAATACACTGTAAGAAATATGTACAGGGTGGCCCGTTTAGGAGGGGCCTATACCTTATCTCGAAATCTACAAGGCCTGTAAACAAAAATTAAATACAAAAGTTGTTTCTAATAAAATTATCTACAACTTTTTTGTATTGTTTTTGTTGTCACCCTGCCATATACAGGGTGGACAAATAAAATTTAATTATTTTTAATAGAACAGCCTATATTTTATTACATTTTTACAAAGCCCTTTGAAAGACAAATCCAACGATATACTGGTCATGTGTCTGTGATCTACCGTTTCGAACTTATTAGCGATTATCTTCAGGATTTGGGGTAATTTTCAGTAGAGTGACAACAAAAACAATACAAAAAAGTTGAAGATAATTTTATTAGAAACAACTTTTGTATTTAAGTTTTTTTAAATGTAAATTTCGAGATATGGTATAGGCCCCTCTTAAATGGTCCACCCTGTACAAGCAATCAAGTGTAGAATGCTTATTCAAAAATTTGCCAGTTGCGCACAAATTAAAAAGAGTAATCATTCGGGGCGACAGGCTGATCAAACTGGGTTATGGCAGTTATGACCCACGCCAGGCCAGAAAATTTGAAGGATTAAATAAGATTACTGAAAGGCGAGGGTTAACAATCAAGAGCTGAGGGAAAAACAGAACATCATTGTTGCCAGAATACCAAAGCGAAGAAGAGGATATGCAGCTATTAAAAAAGTAGTGACAACTATGAAGATTTATTATTATGAAAAGTGAGGATATCCTAGGCCATAGAATCAAAAATGAATGATGATGCTCCAATATTGGTGAATTTGAAAAATAATGCATTGAATGGGCAAATGTTCAAGAGACTGAAGGAACTACAAGAAATACAACAAACTACAGAAAAGCCTATATGGAAAAATCTCCCAACAAGCCATTGACCAGGATAAGATCTGAACACAATGTCTAAACAATAATAATAATAAAATAAAAATATTTATTGCGTAATAGAATAAAATGAAAATATGAACATTATTACACAAACGGCTAACATTTGCTCAAGCCTTCTTCTATGTTGCCTTAACATAATATATAGCAAAGCTATACACACTACACAGCTTTCAAAACTCATTAACAATAGTATTGTTCGTCGATTTTTGACTGACACTTTCCGTATGAGGAGCGAGGGGGTGTTTCATATGGCAAAAACAGGTGTGACGTCAGGTAACCATTGGCGCGTTCTAATGTAGGGTGCCGCTAGCTCACATTCCGAGTATCAGATTAAAATCGGCGGACAATACATTAGGGGTTCATAATATTATCACAACATTTCAAGCATTAAAATATCTTTTAAATATAATTTTAAAGCGCCCTTAGAAACATTAGCTAATTTAGGAGAAACAATTTCCAAATTTAACTGTTCTGTGCTGTGGAATAGCAAATCTAACTATATTTATTAAATCTAGACCATGCAAATCCAAACGGAGATCAAAGTAACTGTAAAGGTACTTTGGGAGCCTATTTTTGAAGATTTTTTGAACAAATAAAGCAAAGTGCAACTCGACCCAGAGGTTGTATTTCAAAATCTTATTACATATTTATGTATATTATAATAATAATAATAATTGCCTTTATTTATTAATTTAATCTAAACTATAGGTAGGTACGTAAAAAACAAATCAACATTGTCGATAGCTGATGACATGGCGCAGTCTAGCCACATGGTTACTCTACTGAACCATACACAGCCCATGAAAATATCATTTTAACTACTAAACAAAAAAATACATAACTAATGAGAAGCTTACTAGGGGTAACGCACGCACCAGAGATATCTGGAAAAAATATAATATAAATATTATGTATTACATAGGTATTACTGACGATTGAGCAGGCACTTCTTGTAGCATGCTTTAAATTTTCTAAAATTATACGTATAGTCTAGTAAAATTGTCGATTTTCAAAAAAAAAATTCCTACCCAAATAAATTTTTCAGGGATTATAGGGGTCGGATGAGTGATCATAAAACCGAAGTACCTATTGATTTTACAAAAAAAAATGTTTCAAATAAAAAATGTGCAACATTATTTGATCTACAATGTTTATCTAAAGACTTTTTCGTTTAAGGGCCGTCTGTGGTCATAAGGGCCGTTTGAAATTTTATAACCCCCTGCCGTTTTTCTATAGGGGTAGTTTAAAGTTTTTTTATTTTTTTACAAAAAAAAATTCTCAATAAAAGTTTTATAAGATTACATTTCCTACAATTTTTCCTTAAATAGTTATTTATGCAACAAGTGTGTAAAGTGAACCTTTTTTCACGAATGTGAATCACGTGAGTGAAAAAAGGTGCTTTACGCACGTATTGCATACAAATTTTTTTCTACTACCAATCAAATATGTGTAAAAGAATAAATTTAGTCAAATACTTTACGCACTAGTGCGTGAAGAATTTTCACTTTACGCACTAGTGCTAGCACTCATGTGATTGTCGCACTCGCCTTCGGCTCCTGCGTCAAAATTCACATTCGTGAAAAAAGGTTTACTTTACACACTTGTTGCATAAATAACTATTTTTCCACCACCTTTTTGTTTTTAGGAGTAGTTTTCCTATTTTTAACTTTACAAAAAAAAATATAAAGAAAAGTTGTTTAAAATAATAAATTGAACAAGTTTTCTTGATAATTTTTTTTTGTAAAGTTGAAAATAGGCAAACTACTCCTAAAAACAAAAAAGTTGTGGAAAAAAAATCCCTTTAATACAATGTTAATTGCAACTGTTTATGCAATAAAGGCGAAAAAAGAAAAAAAATACAATATACCGGGTGTTTTTCACCGGAAGTGACCAGAACTTTCTTATTTTAAATGAGACGCCAGGTATAATTTTCCTAATTTCAATAGAAAACTACATTATGAGTACACTGACACCTCATTTGTCACTTTTTGACATTTCATCTTCAAATTATTTAAATTTTTACTTTTTAATCTAGAGCACCATGAATTAGTTAAAATGCTTAATTTTGTTCCAAGGAATCTGCGAAAATTTGTTTTGTTATTATATTTTTTATTTTATATCCTTTACAGACTCATTAAAAAATAGTAGAAGTGCATTTTTGTAATTATCTCAATTTTCTCAAATGGAAAGGGTGTGGCTCATTGCAATATTCCAAAAGAGCGTTTTCTAAGGAGCAATTTAGTACCACACAATCGTTAGTTCATCACTCAAATAAAGAATTTTCCTAGCACTCTAAATATTTTTGGAAAATTTTGGTTCAATATTTGAATAAACTAGCGATTGTGTGGTACTAAATGGGGATATTTAGTGTTTCTTTTTTATTTTTTTTTCTAATTCTAGAACACAAACTAAGTCTAATAGCACTATTTTGGGGAACATTTGAGTTGTCGTTAATTTTTAATAAAAAATATAAATTCAGCAGCATTTCAAACGCCGCAGAAAACCCGCCGAATATGACGTCAGTTCCTACAACTAGCAAAAATATACTGCAAATAAGTACGTTGTCAGATTGTCGTTGTCATTGTTGATTTCCAAGATTGCCTCTAGAAACCTCGTTTTTATCCTTGCATTATATAGTTTTTTGTTGTATAATTTGGGCTACAGTTATAAAATTAATGTAATTTTTTAATTGTTAGTGGGTTTAGTTGCAGAACAACAGTTTTTCTAGTGTTGAAAAAGGATTTATGCCACGTCATGTTAGTACTAAGGAATCACGACACTCAGTTTGGCAACGTTGCACTGTCTAACTGTCAAGAGGTTATGTTAACCAGTGTTAAACGAACAAGATGCAAATAACGAATGAGGAGTTTTATCATTGTCACTCTTCAGAGCTTAGAAAAGGAAAGCATATAAGATGTGCGCCAGAGCTATTGTGAACGATTCTTATTGGTCAGAAAGTATATATACGTCATACAATGGCGCCATTCCAGTACGTTTAAATATGTGGGATGAAAACAGCATGTTTGAAAATTATTTTAAACAAAATTAGGACATTTTAAACCCAACTGGAAGCAAGGGTATTTTTATTTTGGTTAATACAACTGATTAAAAATAATAAAGCAATGAAATTCAAATATGGTGAATGTCCCCATTGTTCCTTAGAAAATGCTCTCTCAAAATATGCTAATGAGCCGTACCCTTTCCATTTACTACTATCTTTAAAGGAGTCTGTTGAGGATATAAAATACAAAATATGATCAGAACAAATTTTCCCAGGTTCCTTGGAGCAAAATTAAGCATCACAACTAATTCATGGCGCTCTAGATTAAAAAGTAAAAATTTAAATAATTTGGAGATGAAATGTCAAAAAGTGACAAATGAGGTGTCATTGTACTCGTAATGTAGTTTTCTATTGAAATAAGGAAAAATATACCTGGCGTCTCATTTAAAATAAGAAAGTTACGGTCACTTCCGGTCAAGCCGGAAGTGATAATAAATAATTGAATACGTCAAATAATGCACATCCGGGTCATAAATAAGCACACCAAATTTCATTTGTTTATTTGGAAAAATAAAAAAGTTATAGGGGTGAGCGGGTTTTGAAAAACACCCGGTATAGAAGCATCCAAACACACAATGAGCTACCAAAGACTATTCAAAGTGAGAGGTTAGCAAAACTCGGTCATAGTGTGAAAAAAAATTTTAAGAACAAAAATTGTAAGCTATAATAGTATATTAAAGTATAAGTGGATATTAAGTTATACGTTCAAATCAAAATCTACTAAAATGTGTGTTTTTTTTAAAGATAAAAGTCAAAGTGACATTATGTTGGCAATACAATGTAAAATTGTCAAGGCTTTCAAATTTTTATGTAGAAAAGGCTTGTGTTGCCAACATAGTTACTAAATTTTTGACTTGGGGAATTAACTTTAAAAAAAAAACAGACTTTATTTACGACTAATGTATAATGTGCGTATTATATTTGTGATTTTGGCAGTATAATGACACAGGGGCGTCGCGTCGGGAGGGGTAATGGGGGTAATTACCCCCCCCCAGGATCGAATTATCAAGAGAAAAATCAGGATGCCCAAAATAAAATACAAAATATATTGAAGAAAATAAATTTTTGTTTTGTTTTATTCTTCTCACAAAGGAAATAATTGTTCTGGAATAGTGAATGACCTTGAAATTTGCAAAAAAATTCGCCTGCGGCGCGTTTTCGGAGAGCGCCCCCTCAATCCCCCCGTACCATTTACCCCCCCCCAGACCGATGGTCACGCGTCGCCACTGTAATGACATATGTTATTCCTCCAGGGATTAATGACGAGTAGCGGGATTAATGGTCATTATTCCACAAAAGTGTCAGTGTCAAACGTCTAGTGCTTGTGGATTTGTATTGAAAATTATGAGACGGATGAAATTTGTTCATTGAAAATCTCAAATAAATTAATTTGTCGTAAATAAAGTAGAGTATACTACTCGCAATAATGGCTATTATTCCCTCGGAATGTTACTCCCTCGCCGCTGGATAATCCTCGGGAATAATAGCTATCATTATTGACTCGTGGTATAATCTACTATTAATAATTGTAGAATGCTAAATTCGTTGACACTTGTTATATTTTATTTGACGTTATCTACAAGTACCTACTCCTGACAAATCAATAATCAAAAAGTTGACATTTAAACTTTACCTACCTTTCTTGGGTTGTTGATGTTGTCATGATAACTTTAAAACGCGCGTTTTTGAATGTTTGATTTAAACACGCTGAAGAGTACTTCAAATAAGTAAAATAGGTTATCAATAAAAAAAAAATTGAAAAAAGAAAAATATAAATGATAATAAAAATAAAAAAATTCAGTGCAGAATTATATAATGTAAATATAGTAACCTCAACTAAATTGTAATTTATATTAAGAAATTTGTAAGATCTATCAGGTCTCGGTGCCAGTACGCTAGTACTTTTTTGAGGTCATGTATAAATAAATAAATAATAAAAAAAAGTTGTGAGTAGTACCGGCGCAAACAGATAGAATCCAGTTTAGATAGACGCAAGATAATAGACTTGTGGCAAAATAACTGGTGTGGGTTTTTGTGAATCAAAGACTAATTAGTGGGGCGACCAGATGATTTTATTTGGACAAAGACGCACTTGTGGAATCCAAAAACCAGTGGCGTAGCCAAACCAAACGTGGCCGTCGGCGACACCCGAATTGCGAGGCCCTTTTATGTAGGGTGGCAGTGGCGAATCCACGAGGGAGTGTAATGGGGGTAATTTACCACCCCAGACAGGCCCAAGAAAATTTTAATTATTAAAAAAACACACAAATTATTTTTTTGAAGGCTTAAAATACGTTTTGAGCGTGGTACCTGAGAAAAATTTCTCCTCCGGCCGCAACTGCGGTGGGCATCACCTACTGGGTCCTACTTTGGGTATGAATCCCTTCAGGTATAGACCACGAGCCGCCACTGGTTGTGAAGCTCTACCCCCCCCCCCCCAGAATGGTACTATAGATCCGCCACTGTAGATTGGTAGGGATCTAACGTCAGGGACAGGTAGGCGCCGGCAAGCCCGCCGAAGGCGAGAATTTTTTGAGAGTCACGCCACTTTTTCGGGCCTATCAACGGTATTCGATAACAATATTTACTCAAAAATATCAATAATATTCCGCTAATAAATCCTTCAAACAAAAAATAAATTTATTTATTTATTACAGTATTACACAACATGGACCGACAATTTTTGGTAGAAATCAGTCAATTTTTTAGAAAACCTATAGTTATTTACATCCAAGCTGCGAAAGCGTACTTTTAGGTGCGAGGCGTATTCAATACTAGTTGAATACTTCCGAGCACCTAGAAGGGCTTTTGCAGCGTGTAATGTATTAAACTTTTCATGCCCCCTTCAAAAATCGTGAATAGGCATGCGAAAGTGAAACATGCTAGTAGCGAAAGTGAAAGCTACTAGCATGTTTCACTTTCGCTTTCGCTCGTCTATGCAATCTACTTTCGTAGGGGGAAGAATGAAAAATAAAATCCGAATCTCTGTATGTTAGCAGGTTTGCTGTACAGGGTGGGCCAATTTGGACACTTTCTTATGGAAACGCCCTTTATTTTTAGAGACAGAAAAAAATGAACCCCCCACTCTGAGGCTTGTATTTAATGAAATTTTGATTGGTGCAAATCGCATTTTGATATCTTCAACCGTTTAGCCGCTAGATGGCGGTTCTCGATTTTGAGCAATAATGTGAAACCATCATAACTTTTTTGTTTATGGAAATTATTGATTTCCGTAAAAACTTTCTTGAAGCACTTTTTCAAGCAGAATTCATTGACGTTCTCAGTTTTTTTCTAGTTGGTCCCAACGTCGAGATATTGACCAAAGTATGGTTTTTTTCAATAGGACACCCTATATATTAATAGCTCATTAGAAAGCTCTGCTTTTTCCGATTTCAATGATATAAAGTTCGATAGGTTTATCTCTAACAGTTTTCGAGAAAAAAAAATATTTCGGTTTTTGTCATAAGAAACAATGTGTTGGAAAGAGACCTTTCTCAGTTTCCTTACAGATATAAAGTCCTTTTCTTACACATTGCTTCATATGAAAAAACCCGAAATAATTTTTTTTCTCGAAAACTATTAGAGATAAACCTATCGAACTTTATATCATCGAAATCAGAAAAAGCAGAGCTTTCCAATGAGCTATTAATATATAGGTTGTCCTATTGAAAAAAAAACAGACTTTGGTCAATATCTCAGCTTTGGGACCAACTAGAAAAAAACTGAGAGCCTCCCTGAATTCTGCTTGAAAAAGTGCTTCAAGAAAGTTTTTATGGAAATCAATAATTTTCATAAACAAAAAAGTTATGATGGTTTCACATTATTGCGCAAAATCGAGAATCGCCCTCTAGCGGCTAAACGGTTTCAGATATCAAAATGCGGTTTGCACCAATCAAAATTTCATGAAATTTGAGCCTCAGAGTGGGGGGTTCATTTTTTTCTATCTCTAAAAATAAAGGGTGTTTCCATAAGAAAGTGTCCAAATTGGCCCACCCTGTACAAAATCAAATGCTGGACGGACTTTCAAAATACTGTAGAATGTACAATACAGCGAAATACTATACGAATTCTATGATATTAAAAAAAGTTTCGTGTAGGATTGAGTTTATTCTACGTTTCATTTTGGGAAATTGAAAAGTGCCAATTTTCAGGTTCGGTAACCTATACAGGGTGTCCCACGGTGGATGGCGTATTAGACGTATATGGAGAACTAAAAAGCGGATCATTTTGAAAATTTGGCAACCGGGATAAACGACCATGATCTACACTTTAAAAATATTTTTGACTATGCGGTGTTGCCGCTTCTACTCTAAACTAGTGGCAACATCACTATTTTAAATGGAACACCCCGTATTAAACTGCATATTTGGATTCTACGTGAAATTCTGAGTAGATTTCATGTGATATACCCTATACTTAAGTTCAACTGTTTTGGAAATATTGACAGTTGAAAATTGACTTTTTACAACTTTGACAGGCTGTAGAACCTGAACGGTTAATTTTAGAGGAAAACCGATTTTACATTCCTATCTTAGATTTTTATAAACTATCATTTGACACCATCTTTGAATTAAATCCATGATTAAAAATTTCAGTTAAATTTATTCTCCGGTTAAATTCAAAGTTGATGTCAAATGATAGTTTATCAAAATCTAAGACAGGAATGTGAAATCGGTTTTCCTCTAAAATTAACCAATTAGGTTTCACAGCCTGTCAAAGTTGCAAAAAGTCAATTTTCAACTGTCAATATTTCCAAAACAGTTGAACTTAGGTATAGGGTATATCACATGAAATCTACTCAGAATTTCACGTAGAATCCAAATATGCAATTTAATACGGGGTGTTCTATTTAAAATAGTGATGTTGCCACTAGTTTAGAGTAGAAGCGGCAACACCGCATGGTCAAAAATATTTTTAAAGTGTAGATCATGGTCGTTTATCCCGGTTGCCAAATTTTCAAAATGATCCGCTTTTTAGTTCTCCATAAACGTCTAATACGCCATCCACCGTGGGACACCCTGTATTTTGCGAGGCCGCCTAGTTACACCACTGCCAAAAACTGTAAAAATTTACAATAATAAATGTAATTGCATATAAAAATATAAGATTAATAATTATTTTCCTGGCATTCATACAAAAAGCGGCCAATAATTTATATTAATAAGCGATCGTACTCAAAAACACGGACAACGAAACAAGTCCAAAAAAACACTTCCTGATAGGGAGACAGAATTCACCTCGACGTCATATTTTACGTTTAGAAATAGAAGGCGTGGCGACATCCATCAAGCAGTGTACTTGACTTAAATTCCTGTGAACACAGAAACCAGTTTATAATAATTCATACATTGTACCACAGATTGTACTATTAGTGGCCTGTAAATCTATAACCACTGGACAGAGTAAAATACTCGTTAAAATATCACAGAGCCAAATAGGCATTTTGGTTCAGACTCTAAGTATTTGTAGTCTCAAACAGGATGCAATGAAAAAGGAATAAATTTTTTTCCAAAATTTGTAACAGTCTGTTTCCTTACTGGTCAATGTATTTAAAAATGTTCAAAATAATTTGTATTTTAATATTGTTTATTTTTAGGAAATCAAGAAAAAAATCGGCAAAGACCAGTGATACGTTCAATATCATCTGGCGATCCAAGACCGAGTTTGCTTCCAAAACTAAAAAGACAGTCATCCTCGGATGCCAGTGGCCAATTATTAGATGAGTGTAGTGAAGATCCTATTATGGTATAAAATAAGTAATAACTACTTTATAGCATGTTTATTATTATAGCATTCAATCAATAATCTATGTTTCAATCAAATTTGATCAGAATTTTATGTGGTATTTATACATTTTTTTGGTTTCCAAAACCCTGTGACAATATGACTTTCGAACGTTTTTTTTTTTATCACTAAAGTAACATTTTTAGTTAGCAATCAGAAACTAAATGTGATCCAGTTTGATTTTATTTTTTTAATAAAAGCAATCACAAAAAGCTCACAGTTACTATTAGCTTCATAGAACAAATACATATATAGTTTGAAAAGTTATTATTTATACTATGTTGCTGAGAGGATTTGGAATAACAGTGTTTATCCATGAGGATTTGATTTGTAACCAATTTGTATATAAAACATTTAGTTCTATAATCTATATTTTTGTGTACCCAACATCGATAAATAATGACGGGAAGTCAAATTGCAATGAATGATGCCAAGCGAAATATTAAGGCACCATTAAATAGTATAGTCTCAAATTATTTGTGATTGTATAGATAGATAGAAAATTCAGGATACTTACTGCCTCTGATTGTCAGAGTTAGCTAAGTATGTATATATAATTCATTTATATTACGTTATAATTGGCGGACCTTGAATCTTAGCAGACAAGTTGAGTTTGTATTTTTAAATTATTGTATTATATATTTTTTTTTGTAAAGAAATTTCAAACATTGCTTCTTTTTTTTAAATTTTTTAATGTTGTTATTTAAATTAATATGCCAGTAACTCTATAATACTGTACGTATTTGAAATGGTGCCAGCTTGAGTGACACCTAAGACAAATTTCTTATGTATAGTGAAAGGAATACCGGCTCATTTCGGTGCTTTGAAACATTCAAATCAACTCATCAAGATGATTTCAAAATAATGAATCAGTAAAATTTTTGTGTCCATTTGTGCAAATAATTTTCAGATTTCAGTTGTCTCAATTCCAGATATGTATGAATAGTATAAAGTTAATTGGCTAAAACTTACATAAACCATGACAGTTAAACAAAAAATGTTATTTGTGATATAAAATTGTTTGTTTTGAATCAGTGCCATGCAGTTTTAACTGCTTTATAAATTGGATAATTTTTGTGGTCGGATTCTTGAAATATGTTAAATTGTTTTGGACTGTGCATGGTTTGTTTTTTTTTTCTGTAAATACATATGTAAATTATAACTCATTTATTAATAAAAATCAATTATTTATCAAGAAAATGTGATTATCTGGTGCGAAAATTGCGATTTATACATAATTTATCCGCATTCAAATGCACAATATTGAATCAAATTTTTAAGCTCTTTTTTTGTGGTCATCTGGAATATTTATTATCAGTGGAACATTTACTGGAAAGAAATTCAAATTAACGACTTTTTACTGGATGATCATAATGAAGTTGCTGGACCAATAAAAAAATTTTTTACTAACGAGAAATAAAATTACTTATTTTCAGCGTAAGGAGTAATGACGGTCACCTAAACGAATTTGGAAATAAAAGGCACATAAACTATAGAAGTACCTACATATGAACTCAATTCTTACATTTTCTCTCATAGATCCTTGATCGGTATTATTGTTCTTAACTTTGCTGCAAACTAATGCTCTTGGGGAATAGGCTCCTTGCATCATTTTTTTTTATTGCTGATTTCGATAGTCCATGAAAAATAAGTCAACACGTGTTTTTTCTTTTGCTTCTTAGTCAAAAATTGACGGAGATACAACACTATGAAATCTGCCTATGACGTCACTTATCTAATAAATAAGTGACGTTGCACATGCTCAGTATATCTATATATACAAAACTTAATATTTGAATCACTTCCGGAATAATCATATTTGGGCGAAATAAAAAAAAAGTTACGATTTTTTTTCGATTTCCTACAGTTTGCAATAAACAATAATCAATTTAATTTTCCATGCAAGTACTCTATTTGGTTTATAACAGTCTGTATTAATTTCCAACATTCAGAACACCTTATCACAACTCAGCATTGGCCTCGTAATCATCATGAATGATTTACTCCAATCTTCGTTATTTTTCATTCTCACTGCAGACTTCATGCATATCAATATCAATGATATTGGATCTGATCTCATTATTGATAAATTTTGAATTTGCCTTAGTATTCACATTTGGTGTTTTCACTGCCCTTATCTTATTTCACCCATTCTTTCTTGTTTCAGCCTCTTACAAAAATGATAAATTGCAATACGTAGAACTTATTTTATTGTTCACGAAAGTACAAAAACATACTAACACTTGCCTTAGAATGAGCTACCCAATTACCACCAGTAGGTTACAAAAATACAAGGATGACCGTCATTACTCCTTTCCATTTATTTAAATTACTTTTGCCTTTTCTGATAAACTAATATCAATCTAATGGTTGTCATTAGGTAAGATCTTTTGAGAAGTGACTGACAATGTAGTATCAAAATAATAATGTTAGAGCAAATTGTCAAACATTCTCACCTAATGTTAGATCATATTGTAAATAATAATATAATGAAATACTAACAATTTTATTACCGCTCCTAAATGTATTTATCTGTCTCAGTTAAATTCTACTCGTAACTAAAAACGCTTACCTATTAAGACTTTCTTTAGAGAAAAAAAATTAAGTTAAATTTTGAAATGTAAGTCTAAATTCTAATGTAGTTAGTTTCCGTTTTTTTTTGAAATTATATTTATCAGTTTATTGTTGCCTCTTCCAACATAAATAAATTATGTCTTGTTAAGCTAGTTATTACATTTTTAGGTAAGAAAATGTATTAGCAACAATCAAAAATTATTGATGAATTATTTTGTATTTATGAGTGAATTTGAAATACTCAGTTTATTGTTTATTTTTAACATGTATTTATAAAAAAATGTTAGTTTCTTTTTAAATTTTTTTAAACTGTTTTATGTCATTTTTTGCCTTATTATTTCTTTTCGTATCATAGTAATTATGTTATAAGTAGTCATTCCAAAACAAAAATAATGTTTTTAAATAAGTACATTTAGGTTATATGCTCAAAGTTTATTATGTATTTTGAAACGATGTTTGTTATTATTCACTAAAAAAAAATTATTGAATTGAAATTATTGTCGTTATAAGTCCTATTTACTTTCACTTTTCACATAATCATATGAAATAAACAGATCTTATACTCTTTTTGATTTGTATGGGGCATTTATGTGACTGATTTTTTTCATAAGTTTTGAAAGTATCCTAATCTAAATTATTATTAATTAAAGTAATAAACCAAATAATGAATAATGTTAAAAGTTATAAAAACATAATATGATAATAATAATGGTTTATTGTCGAATTGGACAGAAAAGAAGTTATAATAATTATAAATAATTTGTAAATAAATAAGAAAATAAAATAAACATGTTCATTTCTAAATTTATTTATTTTTTCACACCCACGCTTATGCAGGGGGTGTTTTATAAACATGCAGCAACAAACCTAAGAAATTAAATTGTTAGGGCTGAACTGATGCTTGAGTGGAAAATTTTATTTCTTAACTCTGTATTGCAAATTAGTGTTGCAATAATTATTGCACATACAGGTGTTAAATCACTTAGGTGCATTTTGAAAATATCTGATTTAATGGATTCAGGGCTATTCAATAGGGTCAATACAAAATACAACACATTACAAAAATGATAAAACCACTACTTATATAGTGTCAATGGCATAAAATGCCTTTTCCAATAAGAATAGTGACCTTCGGAATACCCCAGAGCTCGAGTCTCGTCTCAGGAAGAGGAGAGCTCCCCGAGAGAATACATTTTTCGTCTTAATCATTCTCGTTCACTTTTCGATTACTTTGACAAGGACAAAAAAAATTCGTTCTCTCAGGGAGCTCTACTCCCTGGGGACGAGAATCGGACCTGCGGTGTTGAAGCATTCCTAATCTGCAAACCAATAATATTGTATTTTGAAATTTGAGGCCATTGTAGATTGTAGACCACTTAACCAGATCAGCGTTGGCAAGGAAACAAGGATTGGCCTTGACGAGTCCGATGCACTCGCTGATGACTTGAAAGGTTGTGCTTATTTTTATGGATTAAACATGCAGTTTCTAGTACGAAGAAGGAAGGTAGGCTAAGAAGGGCATTCTGGATGAAAAGCCGCGAACAGTGCTTTCTTGGATGGATACTGCATAAATTTCGAACTGCTCGTTTTTGAAGAATAAAGAAAGACTAAAACAGGTGCAGTGCAGAGCAAAAGGGTAGTGCATATCTAATATGTTATTCCACAAGAGCGAAATAAACGAGTTGTCAACTTGTCAACAGGAGCGATGAAGTTGTCGCTATCAACAAGTTCCCGAAGATCACATCTGAAACCAATTAGATGAGTCTTGGACATGCTCATGCCCAGACGATTTGCGTCACACCACTGTGTGACCGATCAGGTTTGACCTGCTCAAGATCGGTCTCAATGTCCTGTTCCAGACGATCTAAGTCCCTGCTGTGCCAGCAGAGAATGGTTGGGTCATCGGCAAACAATGTGAACAACTCAGAGATCCCAAGTTGGGCTAACTTTTCAGACAGAATTATTAAAAGTTAACTTCTGGAATGACGTTACTTCTCATAGTAATTCCATAAGTTAACTATTATTTTTGATGGTAACAACAGGTAAGTATACTTTGAAAACGAAATGTCACTAAATATTGTTGAAGAATGAGCCTCATTATTCAATGATTTTGCGTGCGGGAATAATGACATTCTCACACCAAAATCGAGAATAGTTATTTTTATATCTAGTGCGCGAAATGTCACATTTCGCGCACGAGTTGCATACAATATTTTTTCTACAACTCCATTTAAATATCGGTCATTCGAAGCTAAAATTGCATTTACAATCAAAGGCAGGTGTCAGGTATTTTTTACCTGTCACAATGCGCGAACTAAGGCATTTCGCACACTGGAGAATCATTTCGCGCACAGCGTCATGGGAACGTTAAAAGTACTTTTTTCCGCGATTGACAAGAAATGTCATGATTTTTGACCAGCTGACAGGTCGCAAAACTCTATGTTCTGGTATTTTCAATGGTTGCTAAGGAATCGATGGATAGCAGTACGGGAATCACTTTTCCGGCCCAGGCATGCAGGACCAACACAAAAACATTCCTCATTTTTTCCATTACTCAGCGATCGCAGAAAAAATAGTATGTGTATATCAGAGGAAAAGCACATTGACGGGCGAGGCGCAGCCCAGGCCGGCAAGCACCGAGAATGTGCCACTTTTCCACCTAGATACACAATATACTATTCCGAAAGTAAAATATGTAAATTTGGTAGGGATACTCTGGGTATATAGGTATTTTAAGTGATACCACTATTCCTATATCTGTAACGGATAAGTTCTTCAAGGTCGGTTAAATTATGAAAAAGTTGCCTTTTTTGATGCCCATTCAAGACTCATTTATAATGTTGAGTGTTGCCAAATTTGTTTTAGTTTATGAAATATAGGGTGATTTCCATGTGATTTCTAAGAAACGCCCAAAAATATTTCATCAATTATTTCGAAAACTATTAATTTTCGAGACACAATTTAAATTTGACACAATTTAAATCTGAAACACACTCTACAACATGACATCTTAAAATTATAAATCCGACGTTTCGTGATCGAGCTACCATCTTCCACTTCATTTCTAGAAATGCGGACCTGGATTTTTATGTCATTTTTAGAAAGCGCCCTTTATTCACTTTTTAACGATATACCTCTTGAGTATGATTGGCCGACGTTTCTGCTCTGAAAAGTCATCATCAGTGATTTTCATCAAAATTTTACCAATACGTCCCTAGTTATGAACTAAAAGGAATTTGGCAACACTGTAAACGAATCTCAAATGGGCATCAAAAAAGCGAACTTTGTAACTCTTCGGTTTGGGATATAGTAATAGTGGTATTGGCACAGATTAGTTACATACAGATGCGAAAGAGCGGCGAATTCGTGGTTCAAGATTAATTTGATAGACATAGGCTGGCCGCACCAATGCCACATCAATGTATTTTGAACATATTTATTATATAAATGCGGAAGCTCAATAATATAATATTATTTCTTTAATTGGTTCACAAACAGATTTTTTTTTTTTTTTCTACCCGCAAAAATATGTAAACACACAGGCTGGAACATGCTCAGGCACTCGGCCACGTTAATTGTCCTGACGCGGGCGATCTTTATCTATGCGCGGGGCCGCTGGCGGCCCGGCTTCGTCACAGAATATCGTCGACAGCAAGTAGGTATACGTACTTACGCATCTGCATTAGGTGATCTGTGGTATTGGTATTAAAAAATATACACCTTTCATAGATACAAATATTAGCTTTCATCTCGTAGAAAAAAATATACTGTTCCTAACTCATGCGGAAAGTCTCTTTTCCTCACTCGACTAATGCGTGCGCAAAAGTGGCACTTTCCACACTAGTTAGGAAATAGACTATTTTTTACGAGCGTGCGTGAAACCCCGCCTTTCCGCATGCATTTTCGGTTATAAACAGAACCACTTGCTGCAATTGCTTGTGGAAAAGTAGCAGTTTCCGCATTAGTTAGAACATATACTATTTTCGATTGCTGTCATGGAGCCATGGGAGACAAATGAGACAATCAACAGGGACAGACTAGACTGACAGAATAAACTTTGCAGTTTGAAATGCACCTGATGAAATGGCGAGGAAATTACCAGTTTCTTTGAATTTACTGACATTTAATTTGTCTTTATTTTAATTTTTTAAATTTAAACTTCAATTTAAATGTAGCGGAAAGGGCCAGTGTCGATTGCGAGTGATTGCCGCACTCCGCTATCTCACAATCGACAATGGGCTCTTTTCATTCCTTTGTAGAGAAAGTCAAAAACTGTCCCATGAACGATTTGGAATCCACTCTGTATACGAATTTCGGGTTCTACGCACAAATTTTTGGCTTTGCGCAGAATCGTGACGGTACAGTACATTGTACTTTGTACGGTTTCCTGCTGTGTTGGAACAAAGCTATTATACAGGGTGTCCCAGGGAAAACAGTCCACCCCGATTTATTCAATTTGAAATAAAAATCTGGGAAAACGCTCCGAGGAGGAAATATTTTTCAGTCTTTTTCATCCTCGTAGCTTCAACCCCATAGCTATGGTCAGAACAACCCCCCAAATTTGAATAGGGGATAGGGGTCATGTCCATACCTCTTCTTAAAGGTCTCATCGAGCTTTTTATGGGATCTAGACGTCATTTGGGCATAAATTCCGCACCCGATTTATTAATTTTTTGTTGTTTCTTCTGGTAAATACTAATAGAGACAATTCAAAATTCCCAGTGGATGAAAAATCTGTATCATAATGAAAATCTGTATCATAATGAAGTTCATTATGAAACAAATTTTAAGCGTATTTCGGGAATTCGCTCCAAGAGCATAATTTATTCCATTTAAATCCATTTATTCATAATTTGCAGTAAATTGTTCGTTTTGTATTTTTTCTCCAATTCTATGAACTAAATTAGTGCATAAATAAAGTGAGACCATGTTGCGACGTGTCTGCTCGCTTACATAAGCTTCCATGTTCGGAACAGTAAAATGTGTTCGATAAGTCTGTTACAATACGTCAAAAACCGTCCCATGAACGGTTTCGAAAGTACTGATAAAAGGACGGTTCTAGAACGGTTCGAAACAATCACACAGTTTATAATTGAAATTTTTGACATCCGAGTCGTTGTCATTTTGTTGAATGATAGACGACTATCGAATCCTTCAGGATCGGAATCCGGGCCCAGCCAGTTTTAGGCCCCCTGAAATATAACTTCCACTGGGATGCATTCACGATTCGACAACCCGTGTTATATTCTACCAAGGTAAATTTCACTCGGGTAGTTGGAGTGACTTAACTGGAGGTTTGTTCGTTTGCGTCGGACTAACTTGAACTAGGCTGTAATATTTCAGATTATGGCAGATGAACCATATAAACGCGAAAGCGCACAAAAAACAAACCTTGGGTTAAGAAACGTCCCAACCAAGGTGAATTATGACATTTTGTTATCTCCATAATATGTTTTATGTTTTGCTTTTGCATCACGTACCATCGTCATCTAAAGTAACTGATGGGACAACATTAAATTAGTTGTATTCCTTACTAGAACTACCCCGCTCCCGGTGTTAGTCGACCCGATTTGGAAGGAACAGATGCGCTGGCTTTCATGCATTTTATAATGGTTTGAGTTGGGCTTGAGCACTCAGGTGCACCAAACACTTTTCGAAAGCAATAAGCGCGTGAAGCCCCGGAGCTTTTCCGGAGCTCCTCCTAGGTGTGAAAGGAATACAACTATTAACTCTTGTACTATTATATGATTTTAAGTGTCAAATATTTGTCAAACTATGAGTAAGGGTGGATTTTCATACATCCGTTTGTCCGACGAAATATGTCCAAAAAATCTTCTATTTTGACATATTTTTATACGATTATGTCAGAATAGAATGTTTTTCGGACATATTTCGTCGGACAAACGGATGCATGAAAATCCACCCTTAAATGCATTGAAATGAATGACGGTAGAATTAGTCCAAGGCTGGGATCACGACGAGTAGAATTCCATTTTCATGACGTCACCCGCGACCTATCTATCACATACTGTAGACGCGATGATGATGGTTGCTAGGCAACCTGACGTCATAAAAGTAGAATTCTACTTGTCGTGACGGTTCCTGAAATATATCGAAAGTTGGGAAAACTTGGATGAAAAATTTAAAGTTGGGAAAAATCGGTAGACAAAAATTTGCGCACCTTATTTGCGAGGACTGATTAAAATTAACATTAGGATCGTGTCACGTGTCGTAATGAATTGCAAAATCACCGGACAATCGGACAACAGAATGACGAAATCCCAATGGTCGCGGCGATTTCTTGCGTCGCACTTTGCACTGTACTAGCGCCACTAGTCTGTGGCAGGGGCACGTAACACTTGTGGCAGTAGTAGCACTAGCACCACTAGCGCTATAGTGTATTAGATAATCCAAATTTCTTATATTATGTTGCCTTCCGCGTTCTGCGCATTCTTCACTCGCTATTCAGATTTCAGCAGAACTCTGAATCCTGGTGCTCTTGAGTTGAAGAAATAGTTTTTGTTTTTTTCAAACATTTTTCTTATACCTACACGTTTTTGTCGTTTTTTTATACAGTTGTTATTTTATTTGATTATTATTTGTAGGTCTAGTCTAGAATATATACATGTCAAACTTTTTATCAGTTCAGAACACATCTGTCATGCATTCTTCCGATCCGACTCCGATCATACAATCAGGATCCTTATTCTTGGAACAGGGAGCAGCGTTCCCAGGAGAACGAGTGTTCCGTCTTTCTCAATTATATGCAACTGATAATAGGATTGTATGATCGGAGTCCGATCGGAAGAATGCATGATAGTTGTGTCCCGGCCTTTAGGCGGCAGTCTGATATTTCGACGAGAATATGGAGAGTTATTTAAAAGACACATCACGTAACGTCACGTTTTGGCAAATTTCGTTACACGAGAGACGAGAGAGAAGGAAGATATAACGTAGACTGTAGACTGTAGAGAGACGGCGAAAGCGAGCCAATGAAAATGACACGAGGAACGCTTGACACAATCCAAGGATTATAAGCAAAGAGGATTGCCAAATGCTGATACCCTTGTATCTTGTATGATACCTATTAGGCTCGGCGCAAAATGAGACGCAGCTTAGTGACGTGAGACAGCGTGAGTCACGGCGAGTTTTTGTGAACAGTAAGAATCAATGTAAGAATAGACTTCACAGCGACCAGCAGCGTGAAGTGACGCAGATTTGGTCCTGCGGAACGCAGTGTACTTGCCGCAGTTTTTCTCGTAGAGTCACGGTGCGTGTTTTGAATGTTACAAAAATTAATTGAGGCCGTGCGGATTCGACAAGTTTTGTATGATACAACCCATAGAGACTATATGCGAACAAAACTAAAAACTGAAAAGCAGCAGCAAAGTTTAGCAGCAGCTACCATTTTATCTGCACTGTGGGTCTGCCTACAAAGTGAAAAGTGCCATTGTAATTGCGCGGTTACTCTTGTCAAGCGCCGATACCCTTGTGACGTCAATACAGATGCGCGTTTATCTTTTATATAGCCTTCTGTCTCTATACCTCGACTCATGCGCTGAGTCCAAAAGTTCTATGAGGAAAGGAATAGTTTTTAAGAAGTTTCACTTCCTAACACGTGTACGATGCTACATTAGATTTATTTTATGTTGTAATAAAGTTGGGAAAATTAGGAATGTCACCCCCCCCAAACGTGAGGCCTTCGCTACGTCCCTGTCTTTGTGAATTGGATTTGTAGGTATTTAATCATGGATCCAGCTACTTTTTTTAGAAACGTTGTGATGGTCTCAGAATTTAAAAAAAAAAAATATGAATCTTACACGCATGTCGAGCAAATTTTACCTAGCTGATTGTGAACGCTGGTTTAATTTTACTGGGTTAAAGCATCCCGATTCGTGAACGACTTATCCGGGAGTTGGAGCGCGCACGGAGCGCGCTCCGGAGCGTTTATTGTGAATGCAGCCCAGGGGCTGGGATCACGACAAGTAGAATTCTACTTTCATGACGTCAGGTTGCCTAGCAGCGGTCATCATCGCCTGTGGCTTGTACTGTACGCGATAAATACGTCGCGGGTGACGTAATAAAAGGAGAATTCTACTTGTCTTGATCCCAGCCGCTTTCGACGCTTTCCAGTGACGAATTTTAAGTTGCTCCACACCCGTGTTTCACACTCTGGTGCTCCAAACAAATGTTGTTTCACAGGAACTGGAAGGCACCCTGTTTTAAGCGTTGTGTTTTTGCTGCAGCCATAAAATTACTGGTTCAGTTGCGCGAAACTCTAATGTACAGGAACGCCTATAAACAGGCTGGGGCACTCTAGAGCAGCTTAGGAGTGCTTAAAGTGCGTCACTGGAAAGCGACTGCTGTTTGATGTCATAAATATTAAGAAAGCCTTTTCACGTGGCTTTGGTTTAACAAACCGCAACATACCGCTCAAATTCGAGTGGTAGGTATCCATCACGTTACTTTGTAACCGGGTTAGAAAACGTTACGTCATTTCTCTAACCGTTTTGTAACCCGGTTAGTTAAACCGGAGCCACGTGAAAAGAACTAAAGTGTCACCGAGTCACTGTCAAGAATGTCAACGAAAAAAATAATTATTGGTGTTGGTGCGCAAGGCCGTTTGCCTTTTTCTTTCTGTTTTTAGGTTTTGACAAGATGAAGTAAGTTTTTCCAAACTTTTCAGAATAATCTACAAATATTTAGTTAATCTTAAGTGAAATGGAGGATTTTCATAAATTTGTCGTGAATTCAACCTTTCCGCAGTGATTTGTAGCTGATATTTTTCTTTTTCAGGATCGGTCTCTGTGCCTACAGTGGGTACAAAATTTACCCAGGTCATGGAAAAACCATGGTCAAAGTTGATGGAAAGGTAAGTCTAATAAAAAAAACTATATCAATTAATAAAAACTGTTCCAAAATAGTATACCTATTCCAAAACCATCAAAATTTTCATTCTAAATTCATATACTGAAAATCAATCCTATTCCTAACCTATTATAAGTAAGTACTCTACAGTGTTTATTGTGTTGTAGAATTTCACTTTCCTCAACTCGAAATGTGAACGGGCACATTTGATGAAAAGGAACCCCCGTAAAGTGACATGGACAGTGCTTTACAGGCGTAAACACAAGAAGGGTCAAGAAGAAGAAGCCACCAAAAAACGTACCCGTAGGACACAAAAATTCCAACGTGCTATTGTCGGAGCTTCTTTAAATGATATTATGGCTAAGAGAAATCAAAGGCCAGAAGTAAGGGAAGCACAGAGAGAACAAGCTATCCGGTAAGCTATCAACTTTCAAATTTATAAATATTTGTGTTGATATTAATTATTGCAGTAGGTACGATTAGATGATGGTACAGTCATTTAAAAGTTTATAAAGCTGCATAAAGTAATGTGATTTCTTACCACTGGCATATTCTGCATTATAATGTGTCAGGCTATTAAAAATCACAACACTAGATTAAAATTTAATTGAAAGAACATAATTATAAACCATTTCATATTTTTAATCAAATCATGCAATATTCAGGCCTATGATGTATCATTTTCTGTTATTTTAACAGCAACGTTAAGTTATCTGTCACTGTTTATTCTATACGTCAAAATGGAGACAAAAATAGATGTTGAGCCTTAACACAGCCGTTAAAATAACAGGACAGGATACATCATAGGCCTGATTGTCGTTTTCAATCTGACACTTTCCGTATGAGGAGCGAGGGGGTGAAGCTTATGGCAAAAACAGGTGTGACGTCAGGGGGTCAATTCTTGAACATTTTCGCATACGAAAGTTGATACGAAAGTTGATACGAATTTGAATGTTAGCAACGTAAATTGAATAGCGAGCGTTCGAAATCATCTCAATTTTCGCATGCGAGATTATTCAAGTATTGGGCCCCCAGGGCTGGAACTCTGTAACAAATAGAGATATTTTCTCTATCTCTATTGACATCTTCTCTCTATTGATTTCGACAAGAAAGAAGAAGACAGGAAGTGCCATATTGATAGGGATAACGATCCTTATCCGTTACAGAGTTCCAGCCCAGATGACAAGTGGTGTTCTAATGTAGGGAGCCACCAGCTCACATTCCTTTGGAGTATCAGATTAAAATCGACGGACTGTACCTACTCTTTCTGCTAAAATTTTTTTCTAATTGATAACTTGGGATAAACAAAAAAATGAAGAATATAGAATTACAGTATCCAAACAGTGAAATATCACTGGTAACAAGGAAAATTAAATATATTTTCTCTCCAACACCAGACAACAGTCTTGAGAACAATACAAAAAATCAATCTATTTGTTAATTGAACAAATACATAAGGCTCGTTTCTCCAGGGTTCATACTTGACCTTGAAACTTAAAAAAAAAGGTAGATTAATTCATATGACACATTCAATTTTTTTGACAAATTCAAATGAATGACTTCTGATTTGAGATCCGACGAACGTTTTTGACCTCATTGATTTGTTTCAGTCAATTTTTATTTGTTAAACAAGGAAGGCAAATGCTGGTAGCAAGTACAAACCCTGGCGAAACAAACTTTTTCTATTTTGGTGTCATATCGAAGTCTTTTCGACACTAAAAGTAGTTTCGAAAAGAAGCTCTTTGTGACACTCCTTTTTTACTTATCGAAGGTTGGTAACACTGGCTGACTGATGGCCATTGAACTGTCATTTGCGATTTTATAATAGAAGATTTCTATATTTGACATGTAGTGTTACCAACCTAAACATATGAAATCAAGAAATATGAGAATATAATTTCCAAGAAAAGTTTTTTTTTTTAAATTAAACAATACCAAAATAGAAAAAATAGTATAAAATATTCGTTTCATAAGACATTTTATCGCACTCGCCCTTTAGAAAACTCGCCTCCGGCTCGTTTTCTAATATAGGGCTCGTGCGATAAAATGACGTCTTATGAAACTTGTATTTTAATGTACTATTATGTATATAGTGAAATTAATTAAACAGTGTATGCACGTGATCAAAATTAATGACATAAGCATGTCGCAATGTTGCCGCTATTAACTTTCGTTTTACTTTGACATACCATGTCTAGTAAAATTTGTTATCACTAAAGCAAACAAACATCGATTTTCATATGTATAGATAGTGTACCTATTATAAACACAATCTAAAAAAACTACTCACTTTTCTTCGTAAATTTGATTGCAAATAGAGCTAACATCAAGGTGATCTTGATTCGTAACCCGCTTCTTATGTGGACGTTTTTTCTTTGGTGAATTTAACGCTAAATTATCCTTAACTTTTTGAGAGATTTTACATTGGATTTTACTCACAGTGGTTATACCAATATTCAGTGCAGCTGCAACACACTGGAAAAATATTCCCAATTAAAGCCCCAGAAGATTTATATTTGATAGTATCAATATACTTCACCTCTCTAACACTATTTTATGGCAAAAAGGGTCCCCCATTATCTCGTTCCTGTTCAAAGAAACTAATTAGAGACGCAACGAGTTTCTAACTCTAACTATTCAATGACTTTGGCATTTTATAGATACTCAATAGAAATAATTTCAAATTATTAAAATCAGTAACCGCAGATTTGCAGCAATATTTGGCAACATAACCCATGAGTGCCAACCTAAATGTCATTTTATCGGCCGATTCGGTTAAATGCCAACAGTGTTCTATCTTTTTTTAACTAAGGTTAAATAAAAAGAAGAATGAACTCTCAGTTTGAAACGAATTTTAATTTCTTACAAACTGCAATTAACAATAATTTCGACGTCATTGATCACGTGCATACACTATTTAAATAATTTCACTTTATCATTTATATCTCTACAGTAGATACACAAGTAAATCAAAATTTACATTTTTTTCATCTCTTCGATATTCGCCACTAATTATTATGCCTACTTAGAATTTTTTTGTGTAACTTAAACACATTTTATTTTGGAATAATTCTTACATTTTGCACTTTTTACCACTGTAACTAATTCACTGATCAAACCCAGAAAGTCATACTTCACAAACTCAAAACGGTCTCAAAACTATTTAGATGCTAGACGCAGTTTTACCTAGACATGCAACAATCTTGACCTGATTTTCAGGATTTGTCATCAGGAGATGCAATATTTTTACTATTTTTCAATTGAACATAATTTTTTTTTGAATAGTGGTGCGGGTACTTACCTTGGTACCTATTGGTTTTGGTTTTATGTATATTTTTCCCAAGATTTTTATTTATTTATTTATTTATTTATTACAGTCCTTGGGATACAAACAGAACATAATTCCAAAAATAGTATCCCGATATTACTAAAGTAATATCTATACTTTGCTTAAAAAAAAAAATATATATATATAATATATAAAAATTTTATATAAGTAATCACAAGTTATATATCACATTGGTATATGTAGAGGTCTTCGTTGTTCTAATCTAAAAACTTAGGTAAGATTTAATTATTCAATAAATCACAAATAAAATATCACACTAGAGTTCATTCTAGAAACTTAAGTTTTAGGTTTTTTTTAAAAGTTAACAATTTTGTAGCAAATAAGTCCAAATTAGAAGTAGTACAATGTAAATTAACAGCCTTAAGCATCCTGACTAAAGGTGCGTTTTGGTAATAGTTAGTTCTACAATAAGGAATGCAAAACAGATCATGATTTCGAAGTGTTCGAGCAGGTACATTGAATTTAATTTTAGAGAGAATACTCGGGGAGTCAGATAAGTTATTAATTATTTTAAATATTGTCATGATATCTGATATAGTTCGCCTTTTTTCTAATTCAAGAATTTTGAAATGTGATCTAGCCATTGAATAATCATGATCTACAATACGGAAGTGGGTTTTAAAACATAAAAATCTTAGAAATTTGTTTTGAATTTTTTCCAATCTGTCAATTGAGTTTTTGTATCTGGGGCTCCATATGACTGAGGCAAATTGCAATTTACTGAAAACATATGCGTAGTAAAGAGTTATGATTGTTTCTTGTTGCTGAAAATCGGCACATTGTCTTTTAATAAATCCAAGAATTCTATTACAATCATTAACTAATTTGTCAATGTGCAGATTAAACATCATTTTAGAGTCAAAAAGGACACCCAGATCTTTGATATGAGTAACCCTATTCAAAGAAGTATTTCCTAATTTATAGCTATAGTTTATAGTAGTAGATCCACGTGAAAATGATAAAACAGAGCATTTGTCAAAATTTAAGAATAATTGGTTTTCATTACAAAATTCTATGAGGTTGTTTATACAAGTTTGAAGGGTTTCACAATCTGATATTGAACTAATTCTAAGAAATATTTTTAGGTCATCAGCGTAACCGAGAAACAAGCAAGATTCAAAACACAACTGAATATTATTAATATAGATCACAAATAGTAAGGGGCCAAGATGGGAGCCCTGCGGGACCCCCGAAGATGGAGAAAATCTCTCAGAGGTAAACCCTAAAAGGGCAACAAACATTGATCTTTTAAGTAAATATGATTTAAACCATCTAAGGAGGTCACCGCAGATTCCCACCTCCTCCAATCTCTCTATCATAATGTTATGACAAATTTTATCAAATGCTTTGCTGAAGTCTGTATAAATTACGTCCACCTGACAGAAAGCATCAAATGATTCATAAATGTATTGAGAATATTCTATCAAGTTTAACTCTAGACTCCTCCTTTGTAAAAAGCCATATTGTTGTGGCATGATGTCACCTATGACAAAACTAAAAATATAAGGGTAGACCATTTTCTCAAAAAGCTTCGCAAAAGTGCACAGTTTACTGATAGGTCTATAATTTTTCACATCATTTTTTTGACTATTTTTATAGATCGGAGTTATGGCAGAGACCTTCCAGACTTCTGGAAAGATCCCAGAAGAAAGAGATTGATTAAACAGCATTGTCAATGGCAGGCAAAGTGAAAGCGAGCACATTTTTGCAAAGAAAGCTGGGATCTCATCAGGACCTGCCCCTTTTTTTTCATCCAAACTTTGCAAAGCTCCCCGTACTTCATTTACACTCAGTATAATCTTAGAAAGTGTCTTATTTTTGTCTTGACGGTGTTTTTCAATTTTTTTCTTTGTAGGAGATTTTTCAACATATACGCTTCGAAAAAAATCCGAAAATAACTTACAGACTCCAGCTCCATCCTCTGCCACCCTGTCACCAAACTTCATCTCCCTAGGAGTCCCTCCATTTGATCCTTTATTTGACACAAACTGCCAGAATTTTTTGCTATTATTAGGTATTTCGTTTTCTATGTTAGAAACATATGACTGGTAGTCAGTGCCAATGCA